TCAGGAAAGGCACAAATTGATAAAATCAAGTTGAATATGCCTATTAGAGGTATTGAGAGAACGTCGATACAGCCTGCGGTGAGTTTATTTCTTGATTTTTTTTTGAAGCAGTAACAATATAGATTTCAGAGAAGGCAGGGATGTTTAATGCATCTAAATCAGAATCATGCTAATTTTCACGAAACATATTCTCGTCCGAAACCAAATATACACTTCTGAAGTACTTGGCGAATCCATTGACAATATCCCCAGGCTTATCAAATACCTCATCACCAAGTTTCATTATACTTAGAGTATCATGAAATCTCAACAGCTTAGATTAGAACCGAAAAAGCAGTGAATTCAATAATACGCCATCTATGTGTTAGGCAGACTTTCCAGCCTATGTAGTACTTCATTCGTGAACACCCTGTATCATGTCCTGAATAGATCCATTTTCTATCCAGATTTTCACTCGATAATTCCGCACCCTTTTCCCTGTCGCTAGAGGTTGTTGGCCATAGTATATTCCCTGGAACAAGAATGAATGGGACAGGTCTGTTCATTGATTGTCCTTGGCTGGTTCTGGTGTATCGTTCATGTCGCTATAAAACAGTCGAAGCTATTTCATTGCCCCTCGGTGGGTGTACTATAAACTCCCACCTGAAAGCTTATCGCACGTCGACGAAATGTTATTTCTATACGAGGGTATTACGAGAAGTAATACAGTTTTGTTGAATTCAGTATATAGACATATCGCTAAATCCAGATCTGTTTATCATATTTTTGGTAGAATATTAGGTTTTTGCAAATGTTTTGTCCGTACAAATGTCATGTGTCACTTTCCAAAGGCGAAAACCCAATTTCCAAAGGCGAGAACACACTTTCCAAATGCGAAAACCCGCACCCAAAGGCGAAAACCCACTTTTCAAAGTCCAAAATCCACTTTCCAAAGGCGAAAACCCACTTTATAAAGGCAAAAACTCACTTCCAAAGGCGAAAACCCACTTCCCATAGGCGAAAACCCAATATCCAAAGTCGATAACCCACACCCAAAGGCGAAAACCCACTTTCCAAAAGCAAAAATTCACTTCCAAAGGTTAAAACCCACTTTCCACAGGCGAAAACCCACTTTCCAAAACCCAAAACCCACTTTTCAAAGGCTAAAATCCACTTCCAATACCGAAAACCCGCTTTACAAAGGCAAAAACCCACTTTCCAGAGCCCAAAACCCAATTTTCAAAAGCGAAAACCCACTTTTCAAAGGCGAAAACCCACTTTTCAAAGGCGAAAAACCACTTTTTAAAGGCGGAAACCCACTTCCAATAACGAAAACCCGCTTTCCAAAGACGAAAACCCACTTCCAAAGGCGAAAACCCATTTTCTAATACCGAAAACCCACTTTCCAAAGGCGAAAACCCACTTCCAATATCGAAAACCCGCTTTCCAAAGGCGAAAACCCAATTTCTATTGCTGGCGAAAACTCGCACCCAAAGATGAAAACTCACTTTCCGAAGCCCAAAATTTACTTTCCAAAGACGAAAACCCACTTTATAAAGACAAAACCTCACTTCCAAAGGCGAGAACACACNCCGAAGCCCAAAATTTACTTTCCAAAGACGAAAACCCACTTTATAAAGACAAAACCTCACTTCCAAAGGCGAAAACCCAATTTCCAAAGGCGATCACCCGCACTCAAAAGCGAAAACACACTTTCCAAAGGCGGAAACCCTTCCAATACCGAAAAACCACTTTTCGATACCGAAAACCCACTTTTCAATACCAAAAATCCACCTTTCAATACCAAAAACCCGCTTTCCAAAGGCAAAAACCCACTTTCCAAAGGCAAAAACCCACTTTCCAAAGGCGAAAACCCACTTTTCAAAGGCGAAAACCCTCTTTTCAAAGGCGAAAACCCACTTCCAACATCGAAAACCCGCTTTCCAAAGGCGAAAACCAACTTCCAAAGGCGAAACCCCACTTTCCAAAGGCGAAAACCCACTTTCCAAAGGCGAAAACCCACCAAAAAAAAGGTTACTGTAACCGAGCCAAACCATCATAGAAAGAGTCCTATTGTGGGGAAATCGACGAAATGTACCGAAAATTGCGTAAGCAAGAGCCGGTGCTGGTGAATGGAAGAGGTCCGATCGTGCTCCACGACAACGCCTGTCAGCACGTTTAACAAACCACCGTCGCAAAATTGAATGAATTGAGAGTCGAAGTTTTTTATTGAATTCGGATATTTACCGCAAAAAAACTATTTGTGTTTGACAGGAAAGGAGGTCGCTGACTTTACCATTGATGGCTTTACAATTGATGTCATCTATACTTGGAGTTTTCTGTATATTTTCTTGAACCTCTTCAGGGGTTGTGGGTTAAAACCTCAAAATTCAGGTATGTTCAATCATTAAAATCCGTGTTAGGAATCAGACGTTGAAAGGTAAGACCTCGTTAGTCCTTGGCTCGCACAAGTTTCTCAACTTCTGAGAGTTGTCGTTCGTGTGGGGGCGACAGCTAATTAACGGAAAAACAGATTTTAAACAGATTAAAATAGTTACCAACTGAGTAATTACATAGTTTCATTATCCATGGTAAGTTATATTGTAGCAGACGTTTGTAAGTTATTTCATTTGAAGAAAATGTAACTTCATCGTTCTGGCTCAAAAACGGATTCACCTTCCGAAACTGGATTTCACACACCCATTTGTATCGTAAATAGCGTTCGTGCTGTAAACCTACTACGTAATATTTTATAATTAGACTCCGTTCTTTGACTTGAACATTCACTTTTAACGCTTGTCAGACGGAAGATTGTGAACCTAATTAGCATTTAGTGTTTTATGGGGGGTTAACAAAACTAATTCACTACTTCAAGTGACACATCTCGTCATCTGAATATTTTGGCGGAAAGGACTGCATTGTTCAGTAATAATTTTTTTTAACGGTTCGAGCTTAATACATTTTTTTGGCAACCGCCCGAGTGACTAGTAACCCCGTTTTTTATTCTTCTTCTTCTTTTTCCTTCAATGGTTTCAGCTACCAGGGCTATCCAGCCAGGAGTTCCAGAGTTATGTTGCTAATACAGGTGGAGCCCACACTGAAGTGGATCTGAGTCGGACAAAAACCCCACCTGAGTTTGCGCTAAAATAAAGTTCAACTGTAATTTAAAGTCAATTAACAAGCAATGTCCGACTGCACTAGAGTGTAAACACTAATGTGAGGTGATGCACTACTGTTACGTGTATGGGCACTACGATCATGTCATGATTGGCGAAGCACTGCATGCGCACAACCATTAGGTCTGTCTTGGTCACTACAGCTTTATATTGAATGCAATCAGGAATTTGGATATGGTTTGTATGTTAGATGGTGATATATGTTTGAAAACGATTTCGTGGAAGGTAATTTGATTAAGTATTAAGGCTAATTTCATTCATAACGAAACAGAAAAAAAACACGTGTCCACAAAATTTCGAGGGCTTTATTGCCGTAAGATGACAGTACAAAACTCAAGGAGAACAGAGAAATGTCACTGAGTTTTCGACGAAATAATACTCTTGTTATTTTGAATAAAATTCTCAAAAATTTCATTTCGTAGAATTGTTGATACCAGAAAAAATCATTCATTAGAAGATAATGCAAGAATGACAGTCAAAGGCGAAGCAGGTTTCATGTGAGATTATATGAGGTAGATGCTGGGATTAAATCAAATAGGTGAATGAATGTCATTACGATGTCATCGATGACATAAGCAGATCAAGCTTATTCCGTGACATTAAAAAATCGTAATTCATGAATGAAGTGTGTGTATTTTCTATGTTATCCAATTTGGTACTGAAGAGCCTTAGGTCCTTTCCTTCAAATCCTGAAAGACAAAATCCATGTTTTCCAATCAAATGCATTTCTGACGTGTTCTTACTTCTTCGAAGTCATCGATGGTTTTTTCGTATTCATTCATTTGTTTTTTGAAACAGTTTGCAAAGTCCGAGACTTTCACAGTTTTATCGATAACCACATCGTCAAACAGTTCTTCGTACCTCCCAATAGCCTTTTCAGTGGATTCTATCGATGGGAGGGCCAGGAGGGTGTCTTCTTTACGAGGGTAGTTTTCTACCAGCTCTGGTAAAACATCTTTAATCCTAAGAAAAAAAATGGCAAAGTGAGTTCAAATAATAGTGTAGTTTTAGATACACTTGAAATCGTGGAAATAAAAAAATTATTTCTTCAATCTTTCAGCAATTTACATATTTTATAATGTTTATCAAACAAGAAACTGAAAATAAGCCCTCTTTCTTGAGCCTACTTACCATAACCTCATTTTTCATCAAGGTGATATTGTAATATTCGTTTTAAAACATATGTAGAAATAATTGGGAATTCAAAATCAGATGCCAGAGCCATGGTGGCAGATGTACAGAACACAGATGTGTACATTGAATCTAGGTTNTCTATTTCACAGCTTTTTATCGACGGATTTATGAAAATTTTTACTCTAACAACTGTACTAAAAGTTCACTCATCTCAATCACAATTACGTTATTTAATTAATACTCGCGCGAATGATTAATTATCGCAGACGTGCCTACGTGCATTTTCATTAGATTAACAAGTCGAATAACATAGAGAAACATTTACTTATTAAAGTTGATAATCACGCATGGAACATTGTATGATTTCACGATTGCGTTTTTTATGAAGCAAACATTATGTTTTGCGTTAAACGCAACCCCCGCATTACAAGATTCTTTGTAGATATACAAACACTTGTTGCTTTCAAAGCGAATGATAATCAAGTCGCATTACAACTCCACTGACTCTTATAATGTTGAAATTTTCAATCAGTCTTCACCTAAATGTTATATTATACAGTGTAGATGTAATTATCCCCCCTCCGCACTATTTACTTTTGAACAAGGCAAGATATCAAAGTGATATATGATTTTCTAGACACTTCTTCTTCTTCTTATTCTCTTTTTGTATGATCTTTGCTTTATTGACACTGAAAACGGGATTTTTTTTACAGATATCATACTGTCCTAGAGGAAAATGTCTGCATATATTTTGAACGCTCTTCTCTTCAGGATATTGTTACCAATCATCATAACGTCATGTGAGTATAATATGTACATGCCGGTGAAACATTTTTTAAATGAAAAACCATGAAACTGTCAAACCATCTACCTTGTGGAGCATGTTGACCGGCTGACTCCCCGACTGATTGACTCACCTATTCACTGATTGACTGACTAACTCACTGACTGTCTGCCTGGCTTAAAATCTGACTGCCTAACTCACTGTTTGACTGATTGACTCACCGACTGACTTACTCACTGTTTGATTGACTGATTCACCGACTGACTTACTCACTAACCGACTTACTGACTTTCTCACTGACTGACTCACCTACTCACTGACTGACATCGGATTACTCACTGTCTGAGTCATTGACTGGCTCGCCGACAGAGTGACTCACAGATTCACTGTCTGTCTGCCTGACTGACTCACTGTCTGTCTGCTTGACTGAAAATCTGACTGCCTAACTCACTGTTTCACTGATTGACTCACCGACTGACTGCCTGATTGACTCACTGACTGCCTGATTGACTCACCGACTGACTTACTCACTGACTGCCTGACTCACCGTTTGACTGACTGATTCACCGACTGACTTACTCAATAACTGTCTCACTGACTGTCTCACCTACTCTCTGACTGACATCGGATTACTCACTGTCTGAGTCATTGACTGGCTCGCCGACAGACTGACCAACTGATTGACTGAGACCAACTGACTCACTGATTGACTGAGACCAACTGACTCACTGATTGACTGACTGACTCACCGACTTCCTCACTGATTGACTCATCGGCTGACTCAATTACTCACTGATTGACTTACTGACTGACTGCCTCACCGACTAGCTGACTGAGGGACTCACCGACTCACTGACTGACTCACTGACCAGATGGCTGACTATCTCTCTGACTGACTTACTGACAGACTTACTCATCAACTGACCCACCGAGTGATTCACTGATTGACTGACTGACTGACTCACTGACTGAAAAAATGACATACTCACTGACTGACCCAATCACTGGCTGGCTGACTAACTGATTGAATGACTCACCGACTGACTGACTCACTGACCGACTGGCTGACTGACTGACTGGAAAGAGAAATCGCACAGCTGCTTGCGCCTGGCGACCCGTCGCTGTAGGATATTCGACAATTCAGTTACACACAAAATTAAAATTGCCAAGACCATTCGAAAATTATAATAAGTTCGAAAAAAGTAATGGTTCTGTCTTCAACAAAAGACATTTAAATATACCAAGCATTTCAGTTCGGCAGTATTATCATGAGAATTTGTGCCATCAATTCTATGAGTATTCTAAATAACATGAAGTTTGTTTTTTCGCGTGTCTCTTATCATTGAAATTGTTGCATATATTCCGTTGCATGATACTGATACGCTGGGCGATTAGGTTATCCAGGGTAAGATATGGCAATATATTTCATCAACAGAAATTGACAGTAATTCAAAAGCACTTGACGTTTAGAAATAAAAAAATTGTTTTAGTTTTATGATACTGTTAAAAAAATGAGGCGACTGTTCAAATTTCGCGGGATACGTCTCGAACATATGTTAACAGTTTCTGCTGTTTAGTGTGTTGCTGAGAGGCATAAAAGTTAGGCGTTTTGCTTATCCGGCGCCTAGCCACCGTATTCACTAGATTTGGCCTCCTGCGACTTTTTCGTGTTCCCGAGATTGAAGAGTCTTATGAAAGGACGACGTTTTGTGACGATCGAAGACATAAAAACCGAATCGCCCTGTACAGTCAGCGTATAAACCAATTAGCGATGCGACGTTTCGTGCATTAGATTTTGTATTCGACAAAATAAAGTTCCTCTGCGATTTCATATCATTCGAAATGGAGGCGGTTAAGCTAAAGAACGAAATTCGACAANTCATTGATTGTCCTTGGCTGGTTCTGGTGTATCGTTCATGTCGCTATAAAACAGTCGAAGCTATTTCATTGCCCCTCGGTGGGTGTACTATAAACACCCACCTGAAAGCGTATCGCACGTCGACGAAATGTTATTTCTATACGAGGGTATTGCGAGAAGTATGTCAAAGTATTGACTTTTTGAATATACGACAAACTTTCTATCAGTTTTGTTGAATTCAGTATATAGACATATCGCTAAATCCAGATCTGTTTATCATATTTTTGGTAGAATATTAGGTGGTTGCAAAAGTTTTGTCCGTACAAATGTCATGTGTCACTTTCCAAAGGCGAAAACCCACTTTCCACAGGCGAAAACCCAATTTCCAAAGGCGAAAACCCACTTTTCAAAGCCCAAAATCCACTTTCCAAAGGCGAAAACCCACTTTATAAAGGCAAAAACTCACTTCCAAAGGCGAAAACCCACTTCCTACAGGCGAAAACCCAATATCCAAAGTCGATAACCCGCACCCAAAGGCGAAAACCCACTTTCCAAAGGCAAAAATTCACTTCCAAAGGTGAAAACCCACTTTCCACAGGCGAAAATCCACTTTCCAAAGCCCAAAACCCACTTTCCAAAGGCGAACACCTACTTTACAAAGGCGAAAACCCCACTTTCAATACCGAAAACCCACTTTCCAATTCCGAAAACCCACTTTCCAATTCCGAAAACCCACTTTCCAAAGGGGAAACCCCACTTCCAATACCGAAAACCTTATTTTCAAAGGCGAAAACCCACTTTCCAGAGTCCAAAACCCAATTTTCAAAAGCGAAAACCCACTTTTCAAAGGCGAAAACCCCCTTTCAATACCGAAAACCCGCTTTCCAAAGACGAAAACCCACTTCCAATACCGAAAACCCACTTTCCAATACCGAAAACCCACTTTCCAAAGGCGAAAACCCACTTTCCAAAGGCAAAAACCCACTTCCAATACCGAAAACCCGCTTTCCAAAGGAGAATTTTTTTTAACGGTTCGTCTACATTTGCTAGGAGCTTCTTTTTTCGCGGTACTTTTTTTTGTTTTGATGTTTTACTTTTAACCTCTTCTTTCGTCGCGGCACTAGAGAACACGCATGTACTGAATTATTTCGGGGCCCCCTTTCAATACCGAAAACCCGCTTTCCAAAGACGAAAACCCACTTCCAATACCGAAAACCCACTTTCCAATACCGAAAACCCACTTTCCAAAGGCGAAAACCCACTTTCCAAAGGCAAAAACCCACTTCCAATACCGAAAACCCGCTTTCCAAAGGAGAATTTTTTTTAACGGTTCGTCTACATTTGCTAGGAGCTTCTTTTTTCGCGGTACTTTTTTTTGTTTTGATGTTTTACTTTTAACCTCTTCTTTCGTCGCGGCACTAGAGAACACGCATGTACTGAATTATTTCGGGGCCCCCTTTCAATACCGAAAACCCGCTTTCCAAAGACGAAAACCCACTTCCAATACCGAAAACCCACTTTCCAATACCGAAAACCCACTTTCCAAAGGCGAAAACCCACTTTCCAAAGGCAAAAACCCACTTCCAATACCGAAAACCCGCTTTCCAAAGGCGAAAACACTTTTCGCAAGGCGAAAACCCGTACTCAAAGATGAAAAATTCACGTTCCAAAGGCGAAAACCCACTTTATAAAGCCAAAAACTCACTTCCAAAGGCGAAAACCCACTTCCCACAGGCGAAAACCCAATTTCCAAAGGCGGTCTCCCGCACCCAAAGGCGAAAACACACTTTCCAAAGGCGAAAACCCTTCCAATACCGAAAAAACACTTTTCGATACCGAAAACCCACTTTTCAATACCAAAAATCCACTTTCCAATTCCGAAAAGCCGCTTTTCAAAGGCAAAAACCCACTTTCCAAAGGCGAAAACCCACTTTTCAAAGGCGAAAACCGACTTCCAACATCGAAAACCCGCTTTCAAAGGCCAAAACCCACTTTCCAAAGGCGAAAACCCACTTTATAAAGGCAAAAACTCACTTCCAAAGGCGAAAACCCACTTCCCACAGGCGAAAACCCAATTTCCAAAGGCGGTCTCCCGCACCCAAAGGCGAAAACACACTTAGCTCCACGACAACGCCTGTCAGCACGTTTAACAAACCACCGTCGCAAAATTGAATGAATTGAGAGTCGAAGTTTTTTATTGAATTCGGATATTTAGCGCAAAAAAACTATTTGTGTTAGACAGGAAAGGAGGTTGCTGACTTTACCATTGATGGCTTTACAATTGATGTATCTATAATTGGAGTTTTCTGTATATTTTCTTGAACCTCTTCAGGGGTTGTGGGTTAAAACCTAAAAATTCAGGTATGTTCAATCATTAAAATCCGTGTTAGGAATCAGACGTTAAAGGGAAGACCTCGTTAGTCCTTGGCTCGCACAGGTTTCTCAACTTCTGAGAGTTGCCGTTCGTGTGGGGGCGACAGCTAAACATATTTTAAACAGATTAAAATAGTTACCAACTGAGTAATTACATAGTTTCATTATACATGGTAAGTTATATTGTAGCAGACGTTTGTAAGTTAATTCATTTGAAGAAAATGTAACTTCATCGTTCTGGCTCAAAAACGGATTCACCTTCCAAAACTGGATTTCACACACCCATTTGTATCGTAAATAGCGTTCGTGCTGTAAACCTACTACGTAATATTTTATATTTAGACTCCGTTCTTTGACTTGAACATTCACTTTTAATGCTTGTCAGACGGAAGATTGTGAACCTAATTAGCATTTAGTGTTTTATAGGGGGTTAACAAAACTACTTCACTACTTCAAGTGACGCATCTCGTCATCTGAATATTTTGGCGGAAAGGACTGCATTGTTCAGTAATAATTTTTTTTAACGGTTCGTTTAGGAGCTTCTTTTCTCGCGGGTACTTTTTTTTTTGTTTTGATGTTTTACTTTTAACCTCTTCTTTCATCTCGGCACTAGAGAACACGCATGTACTGAATTATTTCGGGGCCCACATTAATTTTTGGTCTCCAGTGTCATTTATGACTAATATTGATATTGAATATACAGTGCGTACATAAAAAGTCGCTCTCTTGAAGCTTAACTTTTAAACGGGAAAGGCTATTAACGTCGATAAATTTCATGTAAAACGGCTTAACTTTCAATGTTCTTTAATGACAAGAAAAACAATAGTGTGGCATTTCCTTCACACCTTCCATATGCCTGAGGGTGCGGTCTTACTCCAATTAACAGAGGGCTACGTCGGCCATTTTTCCGCTCTAATTGTTAGTTGTCTGGTGTGACCGACATTTCGCCGGGGCTGTGGCATTTTACCGCGAATTCTCGGTATCTGTGCACGTTATTCACGGGGGTGGGTCGTCCCGTTTTCGCTTTCACGACGCAGCAATCCCTTTTCCATTAGGGGTAAGCACACCTTGCCGTGTTTGAGAATAAATACGCCCGATAACGATACGAGGGTAGATGAGAAGATGTATTCGTTGCAACTGAATCATCAATCACTTCTTTTCAACCGTTTCATATTTACGCTGATATTGGGAAAACAGCATAGGTGAAAAATACGCGTATAAAAGAGGACATCGTTTTATATTTTTTACATTACAAACAGTACAATTTTTTCTGCTTGTTCACAATGAAAAAACTCTTCTCTTTTTCCAGGCGTAATATTTCGTCCATCTGGCCTTTCCTCCATTTACCTGCTCGTGTTATGTTTCCTGCCATTCGTTCCTGTACCGACTACAAGTACCATCCAAGGACACACGGGGTTGTTCCTCAAGATACTAATAGCTATATCTGTACTGACTTCGCTATGCCAACTGACTTTCCAAATAGTGTTGCTATTATTACCTCCATACGCGCATTTTCTAAAGGTACGTATCAGAACGATTATTCTATTGGATTTCGATTCGGAAAAAATACTTCTATACATTCGAATCATGTGCGGTGTAAACCAAAAAGTCTGCAAAGGATTTTTCATTTGTCATTTGTCGGTGGAGCAGCACCGGATGTGGTGCTGCAGGTTTTTCCGGGTTTTCCTGCAGCTGAAAAAGCAAATGCGCCACTGGAATCAATGAAGTCGCCCCGGAGCGCCAATTAATTTTTATTGTTGTTTTTATTTTATTTTTATCGTTGTTTTAATATCAAGAAATCAATAACTGAAAATTTAATTAATATATCAAACAAAATATTTTCAATTAATTTCGTCGATGAGAATGTTTTTGAACTATTTCAGGAGGACCTTTTACTAGAGAAAATCCTACGACACGTAGGTTTTGTAAGACTGAACGACATATCCATAGTGCCTACTATAATATGGCTCGCCCCAGAAGTCATCATGTTCCTCGCTTCAATTATATTTTTCATAGTTCTGAAAAAACTTAACCCTCCCCCGGGTAGTTTGAATCTGGACGAATCGCAATCTTTTGTTGCTCCCAGGCACAAAACTGCAGCGGAATATGTTAGTTACGCTGTCGGCATAGGTAAGAGTCTACAACCATTAATTTATTACTTTATACATGAAAATAAAAACAACTTATCATTGAAATAGTTACCTTAAACGTATGCATACATGTTGATTATGTTGAAATAGGTGTTTTTTCACGTCTCAATTGAAGAAGACTATTTCCATTCTAGGTCGCTACGGTGTCTTAGCGATGTTATGTCTCGCGGCGATCGTGAAGCCATCTGTAACGGGAGGATTGTACTTTTTGATATTTTTGAGTTCCGCCACCTGGTGGGCATCCTACAAACAATTGGGTAGGGGTTTTGCAATCGTCTTATGCTGCCTCTTGCCGATAGTTTTCCTACATATTTGCGGTTTGTACGCTTATCAGTTCCAGTGGTCTCAGGAAATTCTTCCGAGTAATAGTTCGTATGTCAGGTAAGACCAGAAAAGCGTTTATGAAATATAGAGTGGTTTGTTGATGAACGAATGACCTATAAATTAGTGTGGGGTGTTCTAAAAAAGAATTCAGATAAAAGTGGACTGTATTCTTCAAGTTGGCGTTTTGTAAGCCAAAAGGCAATAGTCAGGTTACATTTAAATCAAAGGAAAACAGAAAATATTCAACCTTCTGAACATTTCAGTCATTCGAAACTGATCAGTTTTGATTGAATTAATCTCAAAGTTCTTCATATGGTACAGATGAAAACACCATCTCCAGATTATTGAATATATTATGTGATCGTATCTCAAAATGTGAATTTTCAATAATTTTTCTAATGGTAACAGTAATTATTACGGCAAGAAATCAAATAATGTGAGCTTTTACGGCCGGAGATGATTGTGTAAAAACTATTTTTCGGGTTTGTTGAGTGTAGTCTACAATTGTCAGTCTAAAGATCCCAAACAATAAGAGTCACACTTCATATAGATGGAATAAAACCTGGACTCTAACCCCGAGCAATGTAGTATGTGCTGTGAAGACAGTTGCATTTGTTAACCTCACCACAATTGTAGACGAAACGTCAGCCTGCGGCCAACAAACATGGAACATAAGTTTAAATCCTATTCTCTTAGGTTTTTCTTATGAACCACTCTATTTTGCAGATCCGAATCAGTGTAGAGCTGTAACAAACTGTTCGCTTTTCAGATATTTTGGTTTAACAGCACAGATTATCGTCGATGAAGCTGAGCAGAGAGATTACATTTTCGCCCAAGACCTGAACTGGGACTCTTTCGTAAACCCTCTGGTTCTATATTTGTTGTATATGGTCCTTATTCTCGAGAGTAGGGAATTGCTGAAAGTGGAGGTATGTAGAGGAATATTTGTCTGGGCGGTGATGGACTTTAGCATCGTTTGTCTTTCACTGCGGCCAGTTCAAATGCTTCGTAAGCCTATAAATAATTTTTAGAGAAAGATAACAAACGCGTTGCAATTGAGTTTATCAAAAAATTAGTTTTAATCCGCCTAATTTTCGAATTGCAAATGCGCTCATGCTGTTTTCTTTATACTAACCCAAAACTAACCTATTTCAGTTGCAAAAGAAACAGGGCGCATTTTCTCGCTTAGAGGGGAGCTTTACTGGAGAACTTGGCCGGCAGATGTCGCAGCGCTTACGGAAGCAACAGCTCTTGCGGTCCTCGGCCACTAAAAAGTGGCAACGCGCTACTCGCAAAGTTCGAGTAAGCACATCAACTTACATCTCTACAGTTCTTTTTGTTATTGTTTTCGACGGGGTATTTTCTATTATTAACACCTCATTCATTTACTTTGTTACTGACAGTGTTTTCATTTTTTACCTAATGCTTGGCTTTTCTTTTGTTTATTTTTTTAGATTGGTTTAGAGTTAGAGAACGAAAAAGCAATAGAAATAGAAAAAGCAATAGAAAAAGTGAACAAAGAGCCTACTGAGCGTACACCCGTATGTATTATGATTTATTTCTTTTTTTTTTCTGTTCCAACTCTGTTTTTGAAAGCACGTTTTTGAAAATGAAAGAAAATATCGACTGTGTGGATATGTGGCTTCAAACTTGTTTTGAAATCAAAAAACTATTCAGCATTGGAAAAAGCACCCTTTTGCGAAAAATCCGAACAAAAGTCTTATTTCTGCGGTTATTTGTTTTTTTTTTTTCAAATATCTCCCCATGAAATAAGCTTTGACCGACCTGAAACATTTTAATTTTGATATGATCGGCGACAAACATAGTATCAACGTCAACTACATGGATTTCCACGTTTCTTATGACAGGGTTTCCGTAGACGTCGATCGTCAAATCTTTTGATGAGTGGACTGTATTTGTTGGTGAGAGGCTGCAAAGCGGTGATTCTCCAAAGAGCGAGAGGTTTTTGTAAAAACAGTGCAGACGTAGCAAGCAGAGAATGCACCAGACTCGATCAAGGGCGTTAATGAAATTCTGGAATTTTTTATTTAAGAAAATTGTGGGTAGTTCAGCATTTTCATGAAATGTTCAATGTAATTGAAAGAGAACAACAGCTACTGGCTTCAGTTTCACACCTCATGGACTTCAAGTTCACAAATATGTTGGCTTGAACGCAAATAGGCAACCTCATGTACAAAAATTGAAATAAAAAAATCAAAATAAACAAACAATATCGGGAAATATGACGAAATACGAAGAAACAGCTGCCCTGTCTAATTCGAAGCATTACCACACACTACTTCATTGAGGCCGTTGATATAAGCATCCTAACAATTTTAACAGAAAGGAAAACCGTATGCTGGTCAACAGAATGTGGTAACCAATACTCAACGGAGAAATAGACTAGAATACAACTCCGAAATCCCACCAGTACCATAGTTGTCAATAACGTGGACGAACCAATCAGGAGTAAGAGTTTGCGTGACACCCTTCTGTCGCCCCCACCATCAGCTACACCACCATTCCATAGTCACTCCCATTATATAGATATGAATGCACACGTAGCTCCCCAGTCAGTCATTGCTGAGACTTGGAGGTGTAACTTCCGTCCTCGCAGTCAACGAACATAGCACTGATAATGACTGCCGCAGTAGCAGGGGAGAAGGTTCGCCAGATAATATTTTGAAAAGGAAAATTATTGAAGAGTAATACAAAAATAATAATTTTCAAGGTTTTTATTCATCACGGTTTATTTTAGACGATAGAAGTAGCTCATACTTCAGTTGCTCTACGATCGTCTTGATTTTCTTTGCACAAAACTCTTTTACGAGAAATGACAGAACCAAAAAAATGTTCCAAACTCGGCTAGATCATTTCATGAAGTCGATGTTTCTCTTCGTTTTCCATACTATGCTTTCGATTAAAACATGAGTTGGTACACCATGTACACGAGAGTGTCTCATCTACCACTACAGTTGCAAGTGGATCATCTTCAAATTTTTAAACTGTTAATAAGTGGTCAGTGTATTGATTTACATAATTTTATATCAAGTTGAAGATGATCCGTTGATTAATTTTGAATAAGCACAGGGAGACATGACTCTGTATATTTTTCATTCCACTCAGATTAATATTTTCATTTCTAGGTGCTACAACTTCCTTGGAGGTTTGAAAATGATATGAATTCCGAGTTTTTTAATTTTCTTTCATAACGCAATTGTAAAATGTCTAACACAACTAACTAAAATGTCCATAGCTTACCGACTAATGATAGCTAGTTAGAAAAAAAAACTTTCGTGTGTTTTCAGTTGATACGTGGAGCTACGGGGGGGCCAAAGAGACTCCTCCCGAAGAAAAGCGGCCTCACGCAGGACTCCACTGGCAGCGTAACTATAACGGCGGAGATCGAAGATATCGCTTTGGACGATTTCGGTGAGAATTCGGGGGTTTGTCAAAAAAAAACTAATCTTAACAGTTTGCTTTTCAAACTAGACGAGGAGGAGCACGAGGCGCATTGGTTTGAGAACGTCATTTTCGTGCTTGGTTCCATCCTCCAGATCATAGTACGCTCGTCGTATATCGTTACGAATATTATCATGATGGTGAGTTGTTAGTTAGTATATCTTTCATTCATAATACTGTTACGTTTTTCCCCGTGGGTTGACCAATAATTGACTACACTGAACAATAAGCAAACTTAACTTTATTTCACTCTAAATACAACAAACACTTCAACTAAAACTTACTAGATCGCCTTACTAGATCACTTCGCATACCGCACTGTAACTTCCTCTTGACTGTGTCCATATGCTCGTGTCTAGCGCTTATATATTGTAATCGAATGTGCTAGAAAATTTCGCCGAAATTCCATCGAAATCGGTACATTATTCTCGCCGCTGCATCTAGAGCAGCAGCGAACATCGTACATAGGCGCGCTCTTAGCTACGTCACAATTGGTTTATGGCCACCATTGACGGCCGGCATTATTTTCTTCAGGGTCACTTTCGAATATAGTATAAATAATCGAACCTTGCATTCTGCTATTGAAACCAAAGATCTAGGTGTGATCCTAGACTCCACACTTAGCTATAAATCACACATAATCACAATCTGGCAATACCACTTTTCAGGCCCATGAGGTGACCCTCCTACTTGTCTAGAATATTCCGGGTATGAAAGGGACGAATCGTTCTGCTTGCATTAAACGTGATTTTACAGGTGAAGAGAACCCATTTGTAAAGTTGCCACAAAAAAGCTGGTGTTCGAAAAAATCTTATTGGAAGTTGTCTTTAACATTCACATCTTATTAATATGTTGACATTGTTAATTTATGGAGGACGTTGGAAAAATGGTGGTCGGGTTCTCCATGATGGCGACGACTAGTGGTGGTTTATCTCTATTTTCGTATAATAGAGCGATCTTTACACTTACATGGCTGTAACATTTTTGTTTGTGATGCACCTCACACTATATCCAGTAAAAACGAGGTTAATTTATGCAATGACATAAAACACAATTGTGTTTTATGTCATTGTTTATGTTTATTGCCGCTGAGAAAATTGAAAAGACGGTAGTCAGTCGGCGAGAGGTCTAAAGAGTATGATCGGTGAGGCGAATCTTTGAGGCTCAATTCGTTCAATTTGTGGACGGTGATTTGTGAATCGTGCGGACGAGCGTTGTCGTGGAATAGGATTGGACCCCTTCTGCTGACCAGACCCGGTATCACTACGGCCCGAGATCGCAATGTGTCACAGAAAGAAGCGCGTGCCTAGACAAGCGAGACAGTGTACCTATTTAGTTCTAGTAAACATCTCAATCATTGACAGTAACGTCATCTATTAGCAACAAGCGGAAATACCCTATCAATAGAATCATCTACGTGCTTCGAGTCTAGACCAGAACCTTCCTTATCAATATAAAGGAGTGCGTCGGCGGAACGTGAGTCTGTTGAGTAGAGTAATCGAAGCGATACGGTCGGAGAAGGATTCTAGTTGTACTGCGGAGTAGTGATTGTGAAATCGTCAAACAGTGCGCATTGCTAAATGTCTTGTTAATTTTTCGGGCTGTTAACGCAGCTCTTTGGTTCAATTTGAATCGTAGAGAAAAGTTGGCCTAAAATCGTCTACTAACACAGTAGTAAGCTAGAAAGTGACAAAAATTAAAATTCGGAAAAAACGAACAGCTTCAATGTATGTAGTACACGGTAGACACAGTAGAATAAATATTAATTGAGATATGAAGCTACAAAAAAACATGAGATTAAAACTGACAAACTTTTTCAAACAACATGATATACTATAAATAGCGTTCACATAAAGGAAATTTGTCAAGAATTCTCAGTCTCAAATCATAACTATTATTGATTGTGTTTAGTGTAGGACGACACATCTCAGCATATCCTTACTTTGCAGGCGTGGAGCATAACCTACCTAAGCTGGGTGACATTCGTTCTTCTGCTGTGGGCGAACTTGATTTGGCTCATCCCGAACCAAAGAAAGAACATGCTCCACTCTAGCCCTTTCCTGGTCATTTACGCCTGGTTCCTCCTGATAGCCGGCTACGTATATTCGATGAACCTTACCGAAGACGAAATACCTTCGAAGATCGAAGGTGTAGATCTGAGCGAAATAGGATTCGTCAAAATCAGTGTGCTGCCGTGTGTCCCTCTTTTCGTTAAATGTTTGTACACGGTTATGTTTTGGGTTACTTTGAGGCAGTACATGCAAGAACGGGTCGAAGCGAAGCAAAGCAGCGCCCTTGCGGATATGGTCGCTCCTCTGCAAGTGACTGTTGGTACCGCAGCTGGTGAGTTCACCTCAATTTTTTGTCATAGAAACGCTATACAATGTGACATATGAAAGAGAACTGATATAGATATAGAATGTTGCTTACATGGAACACTATCATCCTCAATTGGGAACTTCCAAGTTCCGGGACAAGACACTTGTCTTATTACATCATCATCATCATTTGCAGATGTGAAATAACTTCAAAGTACATATTTTTGGAATATACACTATTGTATGTTGACTGTGAATTTACTTTTGTAGGGGTGAAAAATGAAAAATCAGAAACCGGTAACAAAATAATGGAGCGGATAGGACAGTTCATGAAGCAATTCTTCACGAAGTTTTGGATTTGGGTGGTCGCTATCACGCTGTTCGCAGTTGCTATAACCGGCGAAAGAATGACCGTTTTCAGGATAGTATACATGGCATTGTTCTTGTTTTTCATATTATCTTTTCAGGTAATGTTACAAACGTACATGTTCAACAATCGTCTCAAGTTTTCTTTGTAGTTTTCTTTCCGAGTTTGGAGGAAAGTCATGTTTGGATTCTGGCTGACCGTCATCATTTACTCCATGATAATATTAGTTCTCGTGTACACCTATCAATTCAAAAACTTTCCTTCGTACTGGACAACGTATCTGCATATCCCCACCGGACAGTAAGAGGTCTGAATGTTCAAAGTCGAATCCATTACTTAGTCGCTTGTGCTTTCAGGCAGTTCGACATAGGTCTGGAACAATATAAAACGAAACAGTTGTTCGTCAGGTTGGTGACTCCAACATTTTTCGTGATCGTAACTGTGATCCAGCTGCACTACTTCCATAACGACTTCATGGTCCTTTCGGATCCCAAAAATACCAGCGTTGTAACAGAAGAGATTACTGCCGAGGATGCGGATCAGAGTTCTTTGCAAGGGGGCGCCTACATCGACCGCAGTGGAAAGGAAGATCGCTCATCATCTGTTCAGTACAATCTGTACGAGCTTGGACGTAAGGATTTCCATTGAATTTCAGTCCGATTTATTATGAAACGAATTCTCTTTCAGATATGTCTTCGATACAGTTCCAGCATCTGGCGCAGGAGTGGCTAAAGAAACTGCACCGAGTGAAGAACTTGATATTTCTCTTCATGGAACTGCACATGATCAAGATTGTCTTCCTCTTCGCCATGCTCATGGCAATTCATGACAAATGCGCCACGTATTTCATCGTAGTGGCTCTTATACCTGTGGCGTTCTCCTTCGGAAGACCTATGCAGATTGTCGTTATATACGCCACTTCTTTACTTGCTTCGTTGATGCTTTTGCTTCGGATGATTTATCAAATCCAATACATCAATCCCGGGAATTGGAACGTCACATGCCAGGTAAGATTACAAAATTTCGGTTTTTCATATGAGGAGGTAGTAGTTGGTTTAAGCCGATTGTGAAACCTCCCCCCACCACTTCGAACTTCAACAACTTCAACCTATGCCACACGACGTAGCCAATGTGACTTTGAGGTAGTATCTTCAGAAAATACTTCTTTCACCTCTTTCAAATGCATTCCACGTTTGTGAACAGCAAAAATTCTCTGTAGAATCATTGGAATCATAAAACCAATATTTCATTTAGGTGGAAGAAATTTTCAAAATTGTAAAAGTGTAAACTAAGGCAGAGCGATGATTTTCATGTTCTCGAGCCAAAATGAGCCTAGGAGCTAGGAGCTTAAATTTGTCATGGTCTCTTTTGTGAAAAAATAATTTTTGACCAGCGCACTTTTAGGTACACAACAATCCTCTATTGAACGAAACTGTTACAAATATCGCCCCTTGGCTTGGGTTCAGAAAAACCGAAGAGGTGCACACCTCTTTGATAGACTTGGTTCAGTGGAACATCATTTACATCGTGATAGTTACTCTGTGGAGTGTCATCTTGGTAAGGCAGTACAACTACCGAATGTCAAGAGGAAGACCCACCACCAGAGCTTTTTTTATGTTCCCGAACGTCACGATAGTCGATTCAAACAAAGATTTGGAAAATTTCTGCAAATATATGGCCAACTTTGCTTTCTACAAGTTTGGAGTTGAGGTAGTATCAAGTAACTATGTTCCCGACCTTTGTACAGAAGTTCTTTTCCTTTCAGATTTCGTTAATAATGACTGTGGTATTGATCGGGATGAGAATGGATGGGTATGCTGTTCTGTACGGCATGTGGCTTGTGGCTATGTTTTCTTTGGAAAGGAAAACACTGGCGAAAGTTTGGGTATTTTATTTGATATTTATCGCATGCGCTTTACCGTTCCAGTACTTCATGGCCGTAGGACTCCCACCGGTGTTGTGTCAAGGTAACTGTGCATTTTCCTTGGTCGTTTAAGGTGAATATCAGAATACAACATGTCTGATAAATTGGCTGTGTTAATAAATATAATGTACACCAAAATCATGAGTGCATTAAAGATGAGTACAATATGACAAGAGAAAATACGTTTTCTGAAATAATTGAGGTTGATTTTTTAGTAATTTGAGATCCAAAGAAGTCATGTCCAGCTTTCTTTGCACTAAATCAACAGAAGATATGTCAGAACATTCAGAAATCTTACCATTTATATACATTTCCATTTCAAGGCATGTATTCATTGGATTTGTATATTCAAATTTTAGAATTTCCTTGGGATTTCCCGGACCCAATCATGAGAGGTCTGCAAGACTGGGCTTTTCTTTTGGACAATTATGAACCACCTCCAGTTAAAAAACTGATTTATGATTTCCTGGTGTTGTTGCTGGTTTCTCGGCAATGGGTAGTTTTCAGAATCGAAAAACGGTACGAGTCATTGGCTTATGCCGGTGGTTCAAATGAGAGTGTTATCCATCAAGCGGAGCAGACAGAATTTGATAATCCCGTGCCTGATTTCATAACTTACGTGAGGTAAACTTACTAGTAGATGTTTACTTGTTCGCGGAAATGCCCAATACGTTTGTTTTGCAGGTCTTATTTGGATATTTTGAAAAGGGCCGTCCTGCAAAGCTTTCTCTGGATCACATTGGCTCTATTATTCATAGCTGGTACTAATCGAGTTAACTTATTCTCCATTGGGTACCTTCTTGGAGCTTTCGTTTTTCTGTGGCACGGCTCAGATTTTTATTTGAAACCAATACCGAAAATTCTGCGGCAGTGAGTACTTTTCTTAACTTCCGAAATTCAGTGTTAGTCTATAATATAATATGAAAGACCAAATTAGCGGTATGCAGACATATGAATAAAAAACGAATTTTTTCATTAATTCAGCATTTAATTTGATTTATATGAAAAGAATTGAATTTGCTTCCACCTTTCGACCTTGAGTATATGAGCTATGCTGATTCTGGGACAAAATCCCATGCTTTTCCTTATGGCGCTTCATTTTAGTCATTTTTGGACATCCGAGCGGAACCTTGTGGAACACCCAACTCAAGGTGGGTGTGACGTAAGAGTTATATTATTATAAACTTATAAATACAAACTTATAAACTTTTCAAAAATGATACACGATCCTCACTGTTCCCGGTTTATTTCAAGACTGTATATCATTCACTTATTAGTTATACAACTCGATATCGACGATGCTGGTGAATCATATAGCGAGTCATTGCAGTTGCCTTTGTTCCCTTGAACAGTCGTATCGCCAGTAAATTTCCTCCAGATTTACTTCCGAAATTCAGTGTTATAGTTTCAAAATCCACAAAAACCTTGTGAAGTCTATAATATAATACGAAAGACTAAATTAGTGGTATGCAGACATGAATGAAAAACGATTTTTTTATCAATTCAGCATTTAATTTGATTTATATGAACAAAAATTAATTTGCTTCCACCTTTCGACCTTGAGTATATGAGCTGTGCTGGTTCTGGGACTAAATCCCATGCTTTTTCTTATGGCGCTTCATTTTAGTCATTTTTGGACCTCCGAGCGGAACCTTGTGGAACACCCAACTAGGTGTTCCACAAGGAACAAGGTAGGTGTAACGTAAGAATTATACTATGAATATGTATGTATATATGAGAGAGAAGGTGATGGAGTAGAGAAAAATCAAATATGGTGACATAACAAAAGGACACTAAGTTGTACGTCGTTAATAATAGTCAGATCCTCATGTGCATGACGTCTAATGAAGGGGAGAGAAATGCAGAATGTACCGACAAAAAAATAAAGATGGCGCAACATGTCAAGGCTTTTTTCTGGAAGGTCCACGTGGCTGTGGAACATGCTTCCTGGGGGTGTGAATGCTGGTCCACTGATAACATATTTATTTTTTCTTCCTCTAGTGGCGATAATTCTCTTTCCTTGACAATCTTATTTATCAATTCCTGCATCTTTACTTGTTTCTCTTCTAGTGTCGTATGGATTTCCCTTTTTCCAGATCTACGGTGAAGCTCGTTCATGACTCTGGAACACATCTGCGTAAAACCAATGAAACTGTCATAGAACCGGCTCTCGAAAAATCTGCTCAGTAAAGATGATGATGCAGAGTTTCCCTGGGTTAGGCATTTTATCTTTGAAATTCTAATATTGATGCTGATGTTTGATTCTGAAACTGAAGGTCACATTTTTTCAATTCAGTTTTTCATTCATATGTCTGCGTACCACAAATTTCGTCTTACGTCTCGTGAAATTTCGACCTATTCAATTTATCATTACAGCTAATTTCTTTTCTCCAGGTGGCAGTTTCTTCTGGGCTACAACGTGACTGTAATTTTCTTGAAAACCTGTTTTCAACTTCTCGGCTGCGTGTTCCTTCACTACATACCGGTCAGCTGTTGTTTTTTGATTCAACTCCTGGGAATAGGTTGCGTGAGAAAATTCACTAATGCGACAGATCCATTAACTCCAAACGTCAAAGAGGGCATAGCTGATTCCTGCGAGGTCCCCAGCGAGTTCATGGGCATAGCCTGGGATACAATTTGTTTCGGATTTTTAATATTCCAGAGAAGGATCTTCAACAGCTACAACTTTTTCCATATCATCGACGATACGAAAGCTACTACAATTTTAGCTTCGAGAGGTGGGTTAGTTGTTAATGTTCTAGTGAACGAATGTTTTTCGCGGAATTTCGTGAGTATTCGAGGTGCATCTTCTGTTTTTCTTGATGCAGGAGCTGTCCTCATTGAAGAAATGAGAATGAAGACGATGCAGGAACAAGACGAAATGGAAAGGAGAGTCCTGGAGAAAATCAAAATGAAAATGGACAGGATAAAGGCGAATCAACAGAAAATTCAAGGTGATAGAGTTATAGACAACCACTATACAGGTAAGTTAACGATGGACTAATCACGGTACATGTCGATGAGTAGAACCCTTTTGACATTTGATGATATGTTCGGTTTGGGCACATCCATTTCTTTGGTGTTCTTTAAACTTGGTTTCCGTTTTTCCGCCTCATAAATCAACTAACTTGTACGGCATGACCAAATGAATAATCGTACAAAACCGTACAAAAATATCACTTTTGCATAAAGAGGTCAATTTTCCGCATATGCAAATTTTTCCTTCTATCTTGCCCCATTTTTTTTGTTCAGCGTTTAGTTGAGAAAATCCTATTCATAATTAATATCTAAATTTCACATTTTCGGTAATTTTACATGCATCACCTACAGCTGTACGAACATCATACATTTTTAAGACACCCAAGCGTCCAGACTCGTAACATATCATTGAATTGCAAGAGGGAACTGTCATAAAAATATACCTTTTGTGATATTAATGAATTGAATATTGGATTATATGAGAAGGTGATTATTCCATCTGTTCCCGTCATTTGTACTTACATAAGCTTTACGTCCAGCAGTGATCTGGCAAATTTCCTCTCAGACGAATCGGGAATGTTCTTATTAACAGCAACAACTGCATTTTTGTGCTGATTGGTTGTGGGTAAGATTAACAAACTTTCAATAACGCCTTATAAGCTCTACATGAAACTATTGCAGATCCGATTTGTTTGTGTTCAATTTGTTTGCTAATAATTGAATTTATAATATTGGTATTGCAATCTTCGATCTGTTGAGTATGGTTGAAGTCTGAAACTCGATTAAATCTGCTCTTGAAGAAGACAATTTGATGATTGATGGTCTTCAACAAAATAAAAAATTAGTGAAAAAGGAACTATTCCAGTCAGCTTGTCTCTATAATTCGTTTTTTTTTTCTTTCGTTTTTATATATTATTAACGGTCAAATCAGCAAGATAATCACCAGCATAGTTATGACATTTGTATGTATATCTTCTAAAAAAACATTGTTTCCATTGTGTAAAAGTAAACAAGAAAGTTTTTTGAAAATATTCGGTGAAAAAATCTATCGACACCTTTTATTTTGCAACCAAAAGCAAACTTACCTGTCTCCAGAAAAATAACTACAGTATATTCGTTGAGACGTCTCTAAGACTCCCAATAACCTCCATATGCTGATAATAATGATGATAATAATAGTTTGTAAGGACGGAATCCCGGCCTGGTGCTTCGGAAGATTGAACGGCGGGTACACAAGATGGTGGCTAAGATCGAGTTGACGAGACAAAACACGTCTCGTATTCAAAGTGTGATGGATTACAGGGCGGTCAACAGGTTTTCGCGGCAGCAATGCAGCGAATTGCCGCCAAATTACGACGTAACCATCGCACTTCGAGTCGAAGTGCCGCAGACCACCAAACAGCACTGCCTTAGATATGAAATGAATGATATTGGACGTTGAAAATTCACTAGTAGTTTTTCGATATTCGAGAAATATCCATGATGAGTTCTACTGAAACACACATGAATTCACACTGCACCGAAAAGAACATATGTCTTTACCTTTTACTCTGGACTTACAATGGACTAGACTAAACAGGAAAATATGTATTGCCGGGAGTATAGGCCCTGATGTTTTATGACTTAGAGACGTATCTCCAACGAATATACTGTGAGAAAACTGCTGACTCGGAGAAATATTACTAAGTCCGCCACGGTTTTTCCCCAGAACGTCCCCCTTTGGCGAAATCATCGTCCGTATCATCATGTACTTCGGCCACTTCGCAGCAAACGTCTCCAGGCGGCTACCACACCCCCGTCGACGAGGAGGAACCCGCCCCCCTAACCCCACGCAGCTCCTTGATGAACCAACAAGCTCCCCCGTCTCCATACTCTGCGGTAATGACCGTTTCACTCGAAGGTTACCTCGAACCCCAACGGATGTCGTTCTCTTCCCCTCCCAATTCCGAACTCAACCCCCGCCCACCTTCCCCCGACGATAGTTTCCCCGTCTTCTCCCCTCCACCGTACAACGACGCTCCGCCCACCGTGGTCGAGGCTCCGCCCGATAGGAGAAAGAGCATCGGTATCGGCCCCCCTTGGATGCAGGGGAGCTTCGTCACTCCCAGGCAGAGCGTCATTTCGTATTCCTCCCGATCGGCGTTGAGTCATCACGAATGTAATTTGCTAGTTTTCGGATTGTGTGGAGCAGTGTATATGCTTATTTGAGGAAGCTCTTTCCTTGATATTTGATTTTGTTTTGTTCTTCAGTTCAATTCTTTCGACTGTGTATATTGGCTCGGTTCGAAGAATTTGTTTCAATTTCGGATCTTTTTTTTTGTAAATATATTTTTGGCTACGCTATACACTATTCTTTGTATAAGGGCAAGTTTTATACTATTCGATTAGTTCAAACAACCCAGCTACAGTTTTTTTTTTCTATAAATTTGTTTCGTTCCAAGCGTTTGTGTTGAATAATTGAGGCGTGGATAATTATTATTATACTCATTCGACAACATCAACAAATAAGGTTACAAACTGTACAACTCATGATGCATGTCGCGTCCATCGACATTCTTCACGGCTTGCAGAAAAACGTCTCTCTGTCAACATCATAAAACCAAAGAACAATCTTATACTACTCAGTCACAGAATATAATACACAAAATGAATACTCAACTTATGATACTAGATGGCAGCGCCAATCGCATAACAAACCTAAAATATAAGTGTACTCATATACATTTTCTACGACGTCAAGAATTTTTTTTATATTGAATTCAATCTAAGAAAATCCTTGGTTTTATCCAAGTTACCTGTTACGAAACTAGTAGCATAGAACATCATATTCTATGCTACTAGGTCTTTTGTATAAACATAAAAAGTAAACCCAATAAAAATGTTGTGGTTTTATTCTAGACCTTCGTCTGAATTCGTTCTTGATTTGGTAACTGATGGGATTTTGACACTGAGAAACAACGCAAAATTTCATCAATTTTGGATCCTTTGACAAGCGTACTCCTCCTTATATTCATATATGTCAACATTATTAGAAAGACCGTCACCGAAAAGTCAATAAATAGAGCAGCAGAATATCTTCTCTTCAATTTTTTTTATATTTGCTGCATCGACGTTCACTTACTGTAGAATTTTATATTGTTTTTTATTGTAGTAATCTTCTGTGAATCTCTAAAACACTTTTCCGAACAACACTTTACTGTATAAACGTTTTTTTTTGTTTTACACAGATTCAATCTTTAGTGGTAGACCGAAATATAGGGTGAAGCCCCCAGTAACCTACAAACAGGGTAATTTTTTTGTAAATCATGGATCTGTACATTTTGTGAATTGGTTACATAGGCATGTACCATGGAACTGTAAATAGGCATGTATCACGGAACTGTAAAATAGAACACTGCTTGTTTTATGCATGATTTTAGACACTTGGTGGGAATAGTTTGTATGTTAATTTGTATGGTGAGTGGGTGAAGAAATAGAATCAACTTTGACGATTTTTATCATATGCTATGTAATATCATCGTATATGTAAATGATTGAAAAATTGTTCAGGGCTTTTACTCCTGAACACAGCTTGAAATCCAATTTTCAAGCATCCAAACTGACATTTTAGCTTTAGATTTTTTCTGATTTTCAAGTAAGCATCGTTTCCATATTATTTTATTTTTTCCGATGAAACTACCAAAAAAATTTCAAGTTATTCAACAGAAATTACAATTTCATTCATATGTTTACAGTTTCATGAGAAGAGGAAACATTTTAATGGTTTGATTGCGAACCAAAACTGTTTGATGATAGGAAATTTGATATTTTGGGTGTTTTAAATTAACAAAAGTTTGGTACTTCGAAGTATTAGACAGAACTAACTCGGTACCTCAGTAATATAACTAATAGAATTCGACTTATGTAGCTAACAATTGTTTGATTTTTACCAAAAAGTTTTTTACCAGCACTAACAGTTATCCTGAAACTATTTGTTGTCATGTTATTCATCGTTCTGTATGCTTTGCATGTTGGATGTTTGCATTTTGTATGAGCCCAATGAAAATTTCATTGAAATGTTGAATCTCATTGAAAATTGGCTCTATTTGATAAAAACACATTTGCTGGTTGCTTCCAGTTTCGAAGTTTTCATTTGGTCGTGCTAGAAGAGAGTAATATATCGAATGTCACAAATTCAAAATGATCTTTGGAAAATAATTGGTACCAATCAAGTTACCGTTTTCGTTCCACATGATTATACAGTGCTACGGGACATTCTGTATAGTACTTTTTCAATCATGGGCTACGGTTTCAGCCTCAATCGATAAGCTTTTTTCCATCAAACCTTTATTTTTCCTCAGCAATAAGATCCGGTGACTATTACATGTTTGATGAACTGGAAGACGAAGACATCGATCTCTTGCCTGAAGAGAAAACCTTGGAAGAAGAAGATAAAGGCACGAAACCGGACATGGTTGAGGTGAGTCTCATCGATTTTTGCAGGAATGAACATATTTTGCTCTGCCAATTAGGTGGTGTTCATTATTAACGTTCTTGTTTGGAGAATATCTCAATTTTTTCATCTGCCTTTCAATTCAATTCGAAATTTACTTCATTATTCTGATGAAGCGTTGTAAAGAAATAAAGAAAAAGTAGACAAAGTATGATAGCTCATGAACAAAATAACGATCATGAACAATATAACGATATAAACATTCGAAAAATATAAATAAAATAAAATTCCTTAACTCAGTCATACTCATTTTTGAAAATATCATGAAATACTGTTGAGCTAATTAATCTGAATAGAAAAAATACAAAAAATTCATAACTATAATTGTGACGATTGATGTTCAAGTCAAGTGAAAGAAATTTTAAAATTTTCACTCATTAGAAAATCCAAGCAGTCCCTGTATTAGGGGAGCGAGTTACCTCCATCTCAAATCATATAGGAAGACATGATTTGTCATTATATCCTCCATCTTATAACAGAAAAACCGGAAAAATATTTTTAAACTTTTTTTTTTCTGATCACCAACAGTCTACTGCATCGACAAGTGTACGAGAGAAAAAGTCGGTCTTTGTGTTTTTCGGGTGATTTTGAAAACGGTTCAATAAACTTCCTGTGAAAACTTCTAATCAGAAGAGCTACAAATGACCCGTTGTTTCATCAATAACGACATTGATTATTTCACTAACCGTTACTCTAATTAATTTTCATTGATCTCATTTGCTAGACAACTTGATATATTCTCCTGAACTCTTTGGCAACCAAACTACTAATCCCGAATTTATATAGTTGTTAGCTACTGCATTCAAGAACGATGTCAATAGCGCATTACGTCGGAGTAGTGTGAGTCAGGCGAATTTGATGCTGCGTAGGCAGCAAAGTATGCCTCTTACTCGAAAAAAATCTGCACGTTCCCAATATTCAGCCGCATTTTCCGCTCCCCCTACAGTGAGTTACTAAAAAGTAGAAGAATCCGTTTTTTTTCTTTCGCTGTGCTAACATTTAGCCGCTTATCTTTTTTTTTCGGCTGGTCCTACTCGTAGATGCTTTGTAAACACATCAGTTTGATTCCCCGTAGTTTATAATATTTCCGCATCTCTAATGCATCATATGAACAATAGACTACTGTTAATGACGAGTCAGTTGTATTTGATGTAAGGGTTTTATTGTATGTAAAAAATAAAGCAGCTGACCCGTTACTGGATGAACATTTATCTTATTATTATTGATTAGTTGATGTTTCACTTGCACCTCTAAAAATGTTCAGCTCTCTCTCAGTTGGCGTTCTGTCTGCACATAACCTATAAACTTGTGAAACATTGAATTATACCTTTAAATTGTTGGGTTAAGAGAAATTGTGAAGGCTATATATGTCTGAAGTGACAGTTTTTCAATTTTTTTGCACCACTGTCTATTCTGGAAAGACTTTAATTGTGTGCAAATGTTTTTTAGAGTTCACTATATGAAATTTAGTTTCAACTCCACTTATTGTGTGAATGCAGATCAGTTTCGAGGGCTTTGTATGCTCACAAATATTGAAAACCTACATTGCAGCATACAGAAGATAATTCAGAACAGCCTGGGATTCATACTCTCATATATATTTATCGTATTAGTCTGTTTATCTATTTGAATGGTTGTATGAATCTCTCATTACAGACATCCTTTTGAGAAGTAGCAAGATATGTGAAAACAAAGCAGATTGAGAGACAGCCTGAGAATTGTCGATACATCTGTGAAATGTCAACATTTTACTTGGTTTGGTTCAACTCGGAAATTCATTGTTTGCGATTGAATCCGATATATATGATGTATATTTGGAAGTGATCCTAGGCTCATCTGGAAACAAACCTAGAAAGGATAAAAAACGATGGAAGTATCTAGTAAACTGGTCACAAACCAGGCATAATGCAGAACTTCCTTGTTTAGTAACGACGAGAGTAATGAGAATCTTCTCCTTTTACTTCTTGTGAATGATGAACATGCTCATCAGAAAGATTCTTGGCTGACCATAGGACAAAACACCTCACCAGATCTTTCATTACGGAATATTTCATATGTTAGGTTAGGTTAAAATTTCTAGGATATGAGTTAATTTCCAGAACGTAGGATAATTCATTTGTTGACAAACTCACACAGGGTAATGTATTCAGTTATTAACTACAATTTGTTGACTGTTTTTCTTGAAGCTTTATTTTTTATGTGTATCTGCATCATTTTGTAAATTTGAGCGAAATATTGATTCCTTTACATAAGAAATAATTGAGTTTCATCTTCAATCACCAAGATCGAGGAACATGAACCTAGGAGTGTGAGGATACAAGAGATTCCAGAAATTGAACCCAAGCCAGGAACTAGCAAAGATGAAGAATTCAGCGAACTTTCAGATTTAAGTAAGTTTTCATCAAGTTCTCAAAGTCGAACACAATTCAATTTTGATGATCTGTTACGTTACTGAAAGAATATTTCGTCCTGTATGCAAAATAATTAATGTTTTTTTTTTCAGAAGAAACAATTGGACGAAAAATTATGACTTTCTTATTGTTCATTTGGGCCTTCATTGATAGTGGATTAGTTAGTTTGACTAACTTTTTGAATAAGTATTCGCGGAATTACAGATATGTCTTGAAAATATTGGCGAAGGAAAAAAGAGTATTAAAGGTGAGTAGAAAAAAAGAGAGAGATATATGTAAAGGAAATAAAAAATACTATCAAGATACATTCTGTTATATATTCTTCCAAAGAAAGGAAGCTTCTTAAATTTTTTGTGGAAAGATGGAGGAGAAAGCCAAAACCCGTTTTCCCAAAAACGTGAAATTTTTATTGAAAACAAACAGGTGAAAGGCCTACCAGATGAAAATTCGATTCGAAAAGGACACGTGAAAGTCCGATTCGAAACGGACACGTGAAAGTTCGATTTTAAAAACACGTGAAGGTCCGATTCGAAACGGACACGTAAAAGTCCGATTCTAAGAGAAAACGTGAAAGTCCGATTCTAAAAGAAAACGTGAAAGTCCGATTCGAAATTGACACGTGAAAGTCTGAATGGAAAGATACACACCTAAAAATAGAGATCTTTCATTCTTTATAAGCAAGTGGAGCATTGAAAGTTTATGGCTTTATAGTTTGCAGTTGTTGATCTTTTTCAAACTTGTTTGCTGTAATTACTCTTTATGTAGCCTACGTAGGTTAAAATCGGAATAGGGCTCTGTTCTATGGTCTCCATTCTACAATTGATATAATACATTAATTGAAAAAGTTCAACGTCGTTTCCTAAAGATTATTCACTTCAAATCTTTTGGTATTTATCCTGAAAGAGGTATTCTATATGAAACTCTTACCATAACATTCAATATTGAAAGTCTTGAATTACGCAGAAAACTTGCAGAAATACTTTTTCTATATAAATTACTGCACAACAATGTGGATGTGGAATTGATTACAGGTTATGCTCCTTCTGCAACTTTGGGATGTTATTGTTATCGAAAAATCATTTCTCTTTCTATTAAAAATTGATCAGGTGGCCCCACGTTGGGCGCCAATCCTCCCACGAAGCATATTCATTGAGTAACCTAAGCGGTTGTTATTTTTAAGGAAAAAACCCACTACAATGTTGGTGTGCGATTGGGTCCCAATCAAATTTGGCAACCAGCCGGATCTTATCACAGTCTCCTGAAGCGTTCAATGTAAGTATTAATGATTTTTTGTTTTTACCATGTTTTGTATAGATTTTTGTCTAGTTGACTAGTTTTTTAGAGGTAGACTGTAGACATAGAGATTTTTTTATATCTAGAGATGACTCCCTTACGCTATCGAGATCCACAACGGAAATTATGAGTCCAACGAGTTCTTACAAATTGGCTGTGAGTCTCAGAAGGTCTGTTTTATATTGAAATTCAACACCAGATATTATTTGGCTTTTGAACAATGTGTTGAAAATTGGTTACGTTTATTTTCGTTTTTTCATCATCAGTTTTTTTTATTCTCAGTAGTAACTGAATATTTTTACATTTTCCATTTGAAAAACATCGTATTTTAATAATTACGACTCAACGTGCCGTTACAACCACATTAAATTACTATCAATTGATGTACTTTGAAATTCAACCGTTCCTTGCCAATATTTTTTCTGAGGTTGTTGACGATACGTTGTGTTTATCCCCGTTTAAACTCACTAGTTTTTTCGATATAAGGTGAAATGTTATTGCTTGTATAATACAGGATGGATTCCATCCAGAGTGACACTGAGGAAAAGCCCACGCTAAGCGAAGAAAGCGATACAAAGGTGTTGGCTACATCTCTGCCTTGTTCTTCTGAGCAAGATAGGTATTGCGATAATATTTGATTCTGATTACTTGATTTCACTTTTAGAATTATATCATTCAAATGATGATCCGAAAAACTTCTTGCAAGTTTCGACCCATGTATGAAACAGTCACGTTCAACTTAAGTTAAACTACATTATATCAGTTTACAACTTTTGAAAAATGTTAACATATCTTGAATGAATCATTCACAAACTATTTAATAGGCTATGTCGATCCAGAGTTTTTTCAAGGTCGTTTTTTTCTTGGTCCTGATTAGCGAAGGTTTTACCGGTGTCGCGTCTTTGAATACTCGAAAAAATTATAAAAAATTAAAAGAGTGGACTGTAATAATTGTGGCATAAAGCGAACTCGCCGAACTCCTCGCACAAATCTCTGCTTATGAAAGGGCCTTTTTTTGGAGTGTTCTTTCTTCAGCTCCACTGGATTGCGCCACAAAGTAAACCAAAGTTACCAAGATGGCACAGCTTTTTAGAGGTCGCTCCATGCCAACAATAATAATACTTATAACAGTAGAAAATAACCGGTGAAAAAATTGTAGTCTATTGGTTAGAGATCAGGGGCAGAACTGCGATGCTCGATTCGTTTAATTTTCGAACGGTGAATTGTGAAACATGCAGACGAGCGTTATCGTGGAGCAGCGCCGGCTGTTGTTGACGCAATTTTCGGTACATTTCGTAGATTTCTCCACAATATGACACTGCTGTAATGGTTTGGCCCGGAAAGAACCTTATATGATTCCAAATTTAGAAAGAACTCCTCATCAGGGTAATACTGTCAAAATATCGAAGTCAACTTGGACAAATTTACTATCGCTGAACCTTCTAGACTCGAAGTAAGGGTTTCAAAGTGTAAACTTGCAAGAAGTTTCTGAAACGAATCTTTCCTCATCCCGACATTTCTCGAGATCGTACGATCCTGTCGAAGAAATGTCGAGATGAAAGACCCGAGAGTAGCAAAGTAGTTTTGGCTGTACGCCTGTGTATGTTGCCTGTAGGCGCAAGGCGAGTGTTCTCACGATCCCCGAAATCCGTATTCTGGCGGCCAGCCTGGAACGTGGATTAGATTCTCCATGTTCGTCAAGGTAATGCAAAGCACATTCCTGTACGTGCTTTGGGCTTTGGCTTTCCCACTCGATTTCTGCATATTTTTGCGTTTATTTTTTTCTGAGCAGTGTTATTTCGCAGAAGAGACGAGACAGAAGTTCGTTAGACGCTTACAAAATAATCTTCTATTATTTTGTGTCCGACACAAACATTATGTTCCCGTCTCTTTTTCCCGGCTCTCCCTTTTCCTGAGGGGAAGTGGCAGGAAATTATTGAATGTTATTACATATTCTCTACTTACCTGATGTTTCTCTACAAAATAGTTCAATTATAGCATGATTGCCAGATATTTTTATGTGGAAAATATTACCATTATCTTGATGATTTTTTTACTGAAACTCTTTTCTAAAATAGGCGAATCGCTTTTTTTTAATGTTACAAAATGTATATATTATTCATGATGTACAGGGAAGACCCTGCACATTTTCTTCTCTTCATTTCCCAAACAAACTTTTCAAATTTACTCATTATCAGAAAAATATTACCTTCCCTGTATATAGTTTTCATCATACTTTGTGTTTCCTTTCATCATATCTATAATGGTTTTGTTCAAACAGTCTCATACATGTTCTAAGAAAAATGAACAACTGTAGAACCACAAAATATTTGAAGCAGTGAATAAGCATTATACTTTTACACCATTGTTCTACTCAAGAATTTTTCAATTGACTTGAAATTGAACAAATCTAAGAAGAAACATGGCGGTATTCTTCTTCACAACCAGTTGGAACCAGTTGTACCTTTCATACATAATTATTGTTGTTGATATATATTCAAACTCGAGTATTTTCATTCTTGAGGAACAGCTTCCTTTACGTAGTTTTTATAACAATAAACCTCGTGTAGATTTTTTTTTGTTCAAAAAATAATCATTTGTACTGGATAATCGCGTGTGTAAAATGTTTTCCAAGTATGACAAGTGACATTCGTCAAAATCTAGCAAGGCAGCTCTCTGTTGTATTATCCATAAGCTTGGCAACACTGCGTACAGTCTCTGCCGTTGATACATTCTCAATAAAAAGAATGATGCGTTAAAAGAACGATGTGATGATTCAATCAACTTTATATAAAAAAAATTGCAAACATATGAAAATTAAGTCGCTTATATTTGTGCATAATTGAACGACAAGATTCTTTCATATCGTGACACAAATTGGGTCACCTTATTTCTAAGACGGCAACACTGCCGTACATTTTAAGAAATTTCAGAAGTGTATAATGCAGACTGAATTTTTAAATATTTAATGCACCAAGGTCAAGTACAGTTTGGCAAATCTAGCTGTGCGATAAAGAAAGTTGGCAACTGTCTTGGCTTGCATAAATTTGACAGGCGTTGACAGCTGCACATATACCAGTAGGGAATGGGAACCCCAATTCTTCCTTTTGTTCAGATGAAAAATATGTCAAAGATAATGAGTGATATATAATTGTAAATAATAAATACATACATTATCATTAGTTTTCAGTTATCTTTTTGCATGCATTTTTAAAGACAGCAAGTAACTCACAGTTCATTACACAGAATAATTTCTCCATTTACTGTACTAATGTTATCTACACGAGTTCCTCGATGTTAATAAGCTCTCGCCCCCCACTCAACCGGCTAATCTACTGCGCACAACTAGATTTGCCAATTTGTACTTAGTAGTCTGGAGAATTGATATATTGTTCGTATTAATGCTAAAGAATTAAAACTCAAACAATTCCTAGGAGATGGAAATGTTGTTTTTGTATGAAAGATAGTTCAGCCACTTCAGATGTTTGTGTAATTTTTCTTCCAACATTGATGAACGTTTCTTCTGAAATATCTATAGAAATATAAAATATTTCAGGTTAGATTTCATCATTACTTTTTGGTATTGTATTAGAAGGAGACAGATCATTGGTTGCTTGTTTGGTTGTATAAAAGTCCTCCAGTATCTCTCATTTATATCACAAGCTATTTTTTTTTATATTACGACATGCCTTGGTACAGGTTTCAGAAAATCAAAATTGTTATATAATTGTTATAACCATCTAAAATATTATATTTCAATATCATTCATTTTTATTTCCATCTTGTATGCTGTTATAATTTGGACTGTACAAATTTTGCATGGATCTTGTCTCTGCACTGGACATTGGACAAACTTATTTTGGCTGAACACAAAGTATGACGCGCAACAATTGATAGCATCACTGCAAAACGTCGGCAAATGTCGTTTGTTTGTGTAGTCAAAATATTTGAGTCCTCAAATCACTGCTCCTCAAATCTGCTCGTAGTGAAGAACTTTAATTTCCAGTCGGAGGTCCTCCTTGGTACCACAAAGCGCTGCCATCGAAGCCGAAGAACTATCTCAATACGACCAACCGACCATCTTCAGACTCATGCTGGCCATCTGGTACACGGTACTCAGCAGATCAGAGATTCTGTGCTACTTCGTGATATTCCTCAACCAAACCAGGAATTCCAACTTCATTTCGCTGCCCTTGCCTCTCATGGTGTTTTTCTGGGGCTCTTTGACCATACCCAGGCCCACGAAAACGTTCTGGGTCACCATCATTGCTTACACAGAGGTGATCGTGCTGCTAAAGTGCCTATTCCAGTTCGATATAATGCCCGGAAATACTATGCGGTCTAAAACTGAGTATACGTCGACAATAAGTGAGAACAATCCCTTTTATCCCCCGACGATTATTGGTCTTCGACGGATGGATTCTTATTACGCCTTGTGGGATCTCTTTCTTTTGTTGGTCGTGTTCTTCCACAGGTAAGGCATATAGTTGAATACAGTTTGAGGTTATGTTTGTGTGTTACGGATTTGAGATGGCTCTAAGTCATGAAAGTGTACAGTTTAAAGGGAACAAATAATTATCAATCAGTATCAATCAGTCTTGAAATTCTTAACATAAACATATGAGCCAAGTTGTATGAGCCAACTTTTTCCAGAGTCCTTCTGAAGTCCATGGGCATATGGAGTTCTTCAGCTCCAGTCACAGCCGCTCTTTTAAGCGATGGAGATTACAAATTGGACAATGGGGAGCTTGTTCCTTTGAGCGCTAGCTCTCCTAATGAAGAAAGGTAAGGTACTCGACTAATTACTCAACTTGAACTGAGCATTGGTCATTGTCTTTCAGAGGTCAGGACCTTGCCTCGACGAGCAAATCGGTTAGGACAGTCACTCCCGTATCCGACAAATCAAATAACTCGCAGGACGATGATACTATCGTGGTTAAAGTCAGGAGAGTGGAAAAAATCAAGCATCTGTCGCTGGCAGTAAGAATGGCGTAAGAAATTTCAGGTTCATCGTTCGATTCATAATTTTCTTCTTGGCTTTTCTGTTGCAGACTGGCCAAATATGCAGATCACTTCAAACTTTTTATACAGCAGCTGTTAGATCCCGCTTCTAGGGTTCCTGCCGATGTGTACACGTTGATGTTTCTTTGCGATTTCGTCAACTTTTTCGTTATTCTTTTTGGATATTCTTCGTTTGGAGTGAGTGATTTTTTGAAACATATATTTAGAGCATAAAAAAAGAGAGCAAGAACTTTAGACAGACACTACTGAAGCTTTTTTTGTTTACCTAATTCCCATCATTCTTCTGGTATCAAATCTCATTTGAACATTTATTTTTAGACTCAGCAGGACGGAGGAGTTTCGGATTATCTTCAGGATAATAGAGTACCGGGTTTATTCCTCTTCATGCTGATTTTACAGTTCATGCTTATCGTCATCGATAGAGGAATATATTTGAGGAAAAATATATTGGGAAAACTGATTTTCCAATTCACCACGATTATTTTTTTGCATATTTGGCTCTTTATTCTATTTCCAGTCATCACTGGAAGGTGAGTAGTATATTTTATCGCCCAATTTACGAAAGAAAATTAAAAAACAGTGTTTGTGTACGTATATACGCACGTATGAAGTTATATTTCTTTGGCGTAAAAATTTTATCCTTCGCATTATCTTACGTTTGTAAAAAAACGACACTGATAATAGGTGTTTTTGAATAATAAAGTCAAGTTCTAATTTATATTGAAGTGAAAGACATTTCGAGAAGACCGGCGGCCCCGCTACGCTGGTAACTAGGTTGGATGTTGACGGATTCGACGAAGTCGTCACTTTGACAATAGATGTGTTAATTTCGTCCGAAGGTCTCGCGAGAAGGGGGCGACCAATAAAAAAACGAAGTGTTTTTACAAATGAAAAAGTGAATGAGAAAACTTTGCGTGGCAGCATTGCCTTGAACAAAACAGCGCACCCCCAGACGAAGCTTCTGTTAACTATTGACAGGAGAATCTGGCCAAATGCGCTCGACTGAGAAGCAACGGTCATACAAATTAAAGAAGAAGAAGAAGCTCATTTCAGGGTGTCGGTGTTTCGTGACTCTGTGCGCGGGCATCATAAAAATTCACGCTCATATTTTTTCCCTAGCCCGCCAAAAGAAGTGTAACTTCAAAAATGATTGTCAGAGCCAACATTTTTGTCATTTTTTCTCTTTTAGACAATGCAACGCGGTTGTGCCTCCTCAGATCTACTACATGATGAAATGTTTCTACCTTCTATTCTCCGCTTATCAGATCAGGTGCGGTTATCCGACAAGGATTTTGGGAAACTTCCTCTGTAAAGGCTACGGCTACGTAAACATGTTCCTTTTCCGAGGATTCATGCTTGTTCCGTTCCTGTTCGAATTGCGTACTTGCATGGACTGGATGTGGACCGAAACTTCGATGACGATCTTCGATTGGATAAAGATGGAGGATATTTACTCGCACATATTTTTGTTGAAGGTGAGAGTGTTTGTGATTGGTTTGATAGAGAGCTAGGTTTCTCGGAAAGAGTCTTTCTAGGTCTTATTTCAGATTTTTTATAAATATAAAGCATGATCGAGTATTATTATTATAATATTTTCAATGACAATTTCATGCATTGGTAGTTTATACGTCCGAACAATGGTTTTTATACACTGTTGAATGTTTTAGTGTTCGAGGCACGTCGAGGACGAGTACCCGCAGCCCAGGGGCGAAAAAAAGAAACCGTTCATCAAATATTTAATGGGCGGCGCGATGCTCACCGTCATCATAGGGATAATCTGGTTCCCGCTCGTCTTCTTCTCGCTAGGCAACGCAGTAGGCGAGGCCAATTTGCCCTCGGACGTGACTATCGAGTTGCGAATCGGGCCTTACGAACCCGTCTACAAGATGTCTGCGCAGAGCAATTCGATATTCGAGTGAGTTATCCCCAACAGAGTTAGTTCATAGGAGGAGTTAGGAAATGTCTAAAATTTTGTCCGCCATGTTTGTTACGTCATTGGAGGGAAAATCGCGCCAAATTCGAAGCGTTAAGAGATATATCTCGGTATTTCATAGTATAATCTTTTTTTCCAGTGGGCTAACATAATCCGGCAGATCCATTTATCCTCAGTAAATATACAGAGCCTATATGATAGTAGTTATAATATTAATATATTCGTTAACGTTCAATTTTGCAGGTTCTCGCCGCAGCATTTGGAAGACATGAGAATTGCCTACAACGCTTTCACGGTTTCGGAAACTTTTATTTATAATTATGAGGCGGTCGATATCGCGGCAGTGAAGTTGAGTTCAGATTCCGCCAACATATGGGGTATTTCTCCTCCGGATCGCAAGAGGATGGTAGCTGAAATTGAGTCCTGTAAGTATGCTTGTCGGCATCAAATCACCAACTGATTCAAATAGTTTCACAGAAAAAATCGCCAGGCGTTAAATCCGGGGGGCGTACAGGTCATGAAATGTATCCGTTGTGATATGAACATCTGTTTGAAAAATCATTATTTAGATGTTCAAGAACTACATGTCTAAAACGGGGAGGAACATAAATATTTATTGAGTCACATAGAAATATTATTTTATCAATCGGGCGAATCTGTTTGAATAAAGAATAACCATGAAACTAATGACAATAGATTCTTCGACGTTTTCGAGAGCAACAATTCATCATGAATAATATTACTGTTTGGTCCTAGTCTAAGCGCAGAAAATATGTGGTAAAATAATCATATTTTGCAGCCAATGATTTGAAAGTTAGATTGGACTTCAAGGTCTCCCACAAAACCAGCAAACCGGAGGACTCTGGTATCTTGTCGGGCTTTACCGAAATAAAAATCCCGCCCAGCTCCAAAACCAACGACACTTCGAGAGAAAACCTGTTGAAGATGTTGGCGGGCGAAAAATCCGACCCGGTACATTTGGCGTACCTGCTGCCCAAATTTTTGAAGGTGACCAGCCAAGGTACCGTTACTCCAGTTGACGTGCTCATGATGGAGAGGCCAGGTAAAAACAATCAATATATTTTATGTCTTTTCCGCCGGAGTCATCTTAAATGGGTTAACATTTTCAATGAGCAAAAAGTGTTCGTATGAATGTTTGAATTTTATTTGTAGTGAGTTGAGAAAAATGACCAATGACCTCAATAGGTTGTACTCAGTTTTTCAGAGATGAATTGCTCGTTTTTTATTTGCAGTAATCCAAGCTAAACAATACCGGAACGTAACTTTGCGTTTGCTCCGACCGAAAGAGAATGGTAATGGGCCGGGATCATACCAAGAATGGTGGCACGTCCAGGAAGAATGCGGAGATTACAATGATATCAATATCTTGGAAAAACTTCCGTACGCCGACTGTGCAGGATCCATTGTGCTATACACTTTCAATGATAAAGTGTTTCCGCCTACTCTGAATTTCATCACAGCTGGAGGGTAAGTATAGAGTTAGGGGGGTATTCTGATTCATTTTCAAAAGGTGTTTCTCCTCAAACTGAACAGATGAAGTCTTGAAGGTTTAATAAAATAATGATTCACCTCGGCCAGCAAACCCAAAAATTGCTTTGTCGTAGCTATCTTCGGCTGTAAATGATTGTAATCAAATCAAATATTCAAATTCCAGCAAATTTATCGCCACAGTTTTACGCGGAACACCCTTTGTATAGCATCTCACATTCCCCAATCTCTTACCGTTCCGTTTTTCCCGATTTTTTCCCACCGGTCCTCCCTTTTTCATTCAGACTCGACTTATCCCTTTCGGTCCGGCATTTTTTTCGTTCAGACCCGCCTATTGCTGTTCGGTACGGCCTTTTCCCGTCCGGCCCCGCCTTTTCCTGTCCGGCCCCGCCTTTTCCCGCCCGGTCCCACCTTTTCCCGTCCGGTCTTGCCTCTTCCCTTCCGTCCCCGCCTTTTCCCGTCCGGTCTCGCCTTTTCCCGCCCAGCCCCACCTTTTCCCGTCCGGTCACGCCTTTTTCCGTCCGGTCACGCCTTTTCCCTTCCGGTCACGCCTCTTTTCCATTCGGTATCGTCCCTTTTTCCGTTCTATCAGCCTTTTTCGTTCCGTCCTCCCTTTTTTACCAGGTCCCGCCTTTTCCGTCAGAACTAAAGTATATATTAACCAAACTACAAATGAATCATGACGATTTGCAGCATCCTAGGTCTCTACACAACTCTCGTCTTCGTCGCTTCTCGCGTCCTCCGTGGCTTCTTTGCCGACGGTCTCTCCAAGATCATGTTCGAGGACATGCCAAACGTAGACCGCGTCTTGCAACTCTGCCTTGATATTTATCTGGTGCGGGAGGTCTGTGAATTCGCTCTCGAAGAAGACCTCTTCGCCAAGCTGGTGTTCCTCTTCCGGTCGCCGGAGACGCTTATCAAATGGACCAGGCCCAAGGAGGAAGTCGCAGACGAGGACGATCCCGAAGGGGATGACGATTAAGGGAGAGGAATCGCGATCGGTTTTGAGTCTTTCGTCGAAATTCGCGACCTCTTTTTTGGGAAGAAGTGAAGGAAATTGTTTTGTCGAGGTTGTGTCACGGAATACCTTATCTGTCACGCACAGAACTCGTAAACTTATATCTGTCACAAGATTTGAGTTCTGTGCTGTTGAGGTGTTCCGTGGTCACGTCTATTGACGCCTCTGAGAAATTGTCGACTGTAGGGAAAGGGATGGATATATGTTTGTCAGAGTTAAGCTTTCACAGATGAAGACGAATTCTGTGATCTGTGATCTTCATATTATGATCTTTAAAAAGAAATAAAATTTTAACACGATATTTATATTCTATTCAAAACTACAAGTAGATGCTTATTAAAACAAATATCTCGGACTGCTCTACGTATATCAAGTCAAACGTATCAGATCCGTTTTTTCCTTTAGTTTACTCGCAGTTTTTACGTTTTATTGTGATGTTTGTTATTTCACCTACTAACATATTCATATTTGCAAGGGAAAGGTGATATTTTGCTTTGGAAATTATTTTTCTTTTTTGGCTGAAACTTGATTTAATGCTTTTCAACACAAATTCACGTCTCTGGAATTTAATAAATATTTTATTCTCGGGTGATATATGTTACATAGTAATCCCGAATATAAACTTGCAAGTGTTTTTATTCAAAAAAAAGTTACATTGCTAATGTATGTGCTTTTTGAACCTATTTTATTATTTAAATTATTTATTTACCATTATTTTAATATTTGTATTTATTTGTTGAAATTATATTTTTACAAATATCATATATTTTCAAATAAATATTTGTTATCGATTCATTTCCATGTGACCTCTAATTGTAACAGTAACCATAGAAGTTTTAAAATGAACTATATATTTATTATTAAAGACCCATAGTTTCGCTATGAGAATGATACCAATTACAACTGATTGTGTTATGTAATTAAGTGCACTGTCCTCTGTTGAAAATTTATAGTTTGTTTATATGTTTGTTTTTTACTTTTTATAAATATTAATTTTACACCTTATTCTTTATATTTTCCAAGCAGAAGTTGAAATAAATAAATATTTTTGTTCATTTCTCTAGATTTTTTTATAAGAGTTCAACCTAGCGATCCAAATATTAATCCGGCTCGAAGGACCATAGAGTTGTGTCACGTGAAAAACCAATGTATATACTTGAACTTATTGGGCCTTTTCAGTTTTTTTAGATATTATATTTTAAAATTTACTATTTTTCAAGGATTTTGGCGTTGTACGGATTTTACTTCTTTTTCCTATTTTCCTTGATACGATCTGGTTTGTTCGAAACCCTCGATGACATATGGCTAGAAGATATGCCTAGTGCTGATAGAATACACCGTATTTGCATGGAGGTTTACCTATGCAGGGATATGGAGTACTTCGATTTAGAAGAAGAGTTGTTCTCACAGCTGATTTTTATTATGAGATCTAGGGAGATTTGCATAAAACTTAGTCGGTCAGCCGATGATTACTATAATCCAACCGTGGTTGTGGATTTGAAAGCGTTGGGAAGGCGATAGACTGTATTATTTTCACTATTAAATATTTCATTTGTTTGATGTGTTTTGCTTTGATGTTTATTTGGAATCGATCTGAAAGGAATAAGATCGGCAGAGGTCGCAAAAGACTAGCCGAGTCTGCAGACAGCAAGAGCCTTTTAAAATATACTTAGCGCCTCACCAACAACTTATGAATGAAAAATATATTTCATTAGTTTGATTTTCAATTCAATACGGTTTGAAATGAAGATTGTTTTCGTAATGAAACATTACTAAAGTAAGTTGTGCTTATGATAAAGGTGTTTCCCTCCTAACATCTACTAATATCATCATCTATATATTGACAAAAACGTCAAGTACCTATATGAAATACGGTGCTTTGTATGCACTAACAACTATTCAGTTTGGTAACCTATTGAAAGAATGTTATTTCATCTCAAAAAGATCACAATGGTTGCTTGAATGATCGTTATAATAATGGGTTTTAAAAATCAAAATGACCTACTTCAGAACTACGCACACAATTCACATCATACGTTAGAGATAATATTTTGTAGTCATTTCGCATTGACATTTTCTTGGTTTTCTTTGGGTTTGACACTGTCGTTTTGCGGCAATGGCTCCTCGAAGTGTGTCAAAAAACTTTCAAAGTATAAGCGAGAATTCTGTTTCTTTTAATGACTTCATCTAGATTCATGGCAAAACTATTTGATACTACTCAAAAAATGAATCTCAAGAAAAATTATTCATTAAGTAAATGTTCAATGCAGTCTATTCGAAACTATTCGTCCTTGCTTCTCGGCACCACAGAACTCAAAATTTCAGTTCTGTGGTCGAGACCCATAAGCAAGTTGGCCTAATGCACCTCGATGGTAGCAAAAGACAATATCATATAGAGAGAGACCCATAAGCAAGATGCATAAAAATACCATAGTGTATTCACTTGGATCTCTTCATATGTGAAATATTTTGACGAAAACACTCGATTTACGGCACTTTTGACAATTTCTTGATTCTTCATAAAATAAAGAGATCCAACTCACATCGGCATTCAAGTCACAGAATCGCATAGTGCACATCAACATTTGGAAACCAGGGTTTCTATTCATCTTTTCTAAAGGCAACAACTTTTTCCAAGTAAGACAACAAATGGTGACTTCAAACGGTAAAACAGCTCATCAAAAAGAACAATTTGTTCAGGCCAGTCTCAAACAATTGACTGTGAAATATCCAATCGTTTTGTGATTCGTTGTACTGAGTTGTTCAATTGTGAATCTGTGAGTGCCTCTGATATGAATAATATAAACGTGAGAAAGAATTTGTGAAGGATAGTGACCTGACTTTGTTTTCATTTTGTCGTTTGACTCAGTTCTAATATTCCAGATAGGCGTTGTATCTGCACAATGAACTTCCATAAATATACTTTTGAACTTACCGTTTTTGACGTCATTCATTCTAAATCATTTGAGACATTGATCAATCGCGAAAAATCGTTTGGGTTGTCAGTCACTAGCTGTCATTTCTCAATGACAATATTGACATTTTTTAGTTTTAGTATATCGCTTTTAAATTGTATTGAATGATGAATGCTGTAGAATTTTATTCAAAAAGTACTGGAAACCATTTATAATTGACTGAGTTCATATCAAAATGGCTTATTTTCACTATCGATGCGGAGAAAGGATAACTTTAATTAATGAAAATTGTACTGCTATCAGAAATGAAAGTGAATTTGATCATGGTTTGGTCATATCCGCAGAACCGTTGGTAAACGATGTTCTTTTTGAAATAAAAATCGACAAGAAGGTAAAAGCCTTGAAATAAGATATGCAGAACTCCTTGAGGATTTCTTTTTTAGGTAAGCTCTTGGTCGGGAAGTTTAGAAATCGGAGTAGTTGATTGTGACCCCTTGCATTTTGATTTTCCTCCATGTGCATCAAAAATTCAAACAGGATCATGGGTATGTCCCCGAGGTTTGTTACGATTTGATACTCACTGACGGTATTTCCAGATTATGTCAGGAACATCTGTGTTTAAAAATGGAGTTTGCTTGGTGGAGGGCTACGGTATCGATTTGGATAAATTGAATCAAGACGATAGAATAGGGCTGATGCGTACGTCAGAGGTAATGCAGACTACAGATTAAGTTTATGAAGAATAAGTTCAAGAAAAAAAATGCTGAGTACCACAAAGTACTCTTTCTGTTCCAACTGTTTTTTATTTATAGAGCAATCAAGTATTTTGTTTTGACATTTTGCTAACAGTAAGACATACTCTCGGTTGAATTGAGGCAGCAAAGTTGCTTACTTGAAGTCCGAATGAGGAATATAGACCTGCATCTTTTTGTCCAGAAAAAAACAGTTTTTCTAGCTTTATTTACTCGATAGAAGTGTCCAACTTTGCCAAACCCTTGAAAAAATAAGAGCGTTCTTAACGATTCCATCATTCTTTTTGGAGAAGCCAACAAAGTTCCTCAAGTCCACTCTACTACTATTTCCAAACTATCAACATTTTTTAAAGTGCTCATATCTCCTGAAATAATTTTGGAAAATTATGTTTTTCAAAACCGTAAACGTTATTTTTATTCCAAATCATTCAGGGAGACCTCGTCTATTACATAAACGGAGAATCTCAAGGCGTAGGTGCCGAAGACTTGCCAGCCGTCGTGTATGCCATCGTCGACCTATACGGAAAGTGCGTTCAAGTCAGTATAACCAGCCCTGCCTATCGTGAGCATAACAATGATGATTGTTTGAGTGGTAGTTCAGTCTTAGCAATAGACAATGACATACTGAATGTCACTCTAGGTGGGGACTTGAGCGAGTTGAGTATGAGCAGCAGCAACAGCTTGGATATCAGAATGGATATGAATGTAAGGTAAGGACACTCATTTCATTTCAGAGCATATTTCATAATTGGAATTCATACAGAGCTGACAGTCAACAGTCATAAGAACCATTCGAACACAGTGATACGGATCTCGATATTTCATATGTATCTCTTCCTCTTTCCTGACAATATTTGCTACCCCCAGCGCCGAAAACTCCACTACAAATATCGTCTTACTTTAATGGACAAAGATGACTACACCAATCTTATTTTTAGCTGCAAAAAAATAATCATCAGATAGAAGTATCTGTCTTTATTGAAAGAGAAATTCTGAACTTCCAACAAGTCCGAATAGATGCTCAGAAGACTGGTTTGTTTCAGTTTGAGTCTTCCGGAGGAGCCTGTGAGGCAGGACAGGTTGAGGTTCCACGACAGATGTGGGTCTTTGGTTAAATTGTCCAACGGAAGCAGAAGCGCCGAACGCCGGCGACCTCTGGATGAGTTCAACAACGGCGTTGTTATGACTCAAAGACCGTTACGGGACTTGGAACTGTTTGAAATTCGAATCGACCGACTCGTAGATAAGTGGAGTGGCAGTATAGAGGTACGTAACTTGCTTTGTATCCGTGCAGACATTATTGAAGACATCTTTTCCAGATGGGTATAACAACGCACAACCCCAATACTTTGGTGTTCCCTGCTACGATGACGAATATGCGGAGTGGTACCATTATGATGTCAGGGTGCGGTATTCTCACCAACGGAAAGGGTACCAGGAGGGAGTATGGAGATTTCAATCTGGATGAATTGACGGAGGGGGATCGGGTGGGGATGATGCGTAAACCCGATGGTAATCTTCATTTCTTCATCAACGGTTTGGATCAGGGAATTGCTGCACAGAGGGTGCCGACCACAGTGTGGGGCGTCATTGATTTATACGGAATGACAATCAAGGTTTGAAAAATATGTTTTTTTTTCATTTCGCTTCGTGAAGACTGTCGAAAGAGAGGGCCCGTTCGAGTATACGTATGCAATATAAGGGGGCGAAGGGTCTTTGCTTTGCTTATACATGTTATCGTGTTTCCTTTCCGTTGATTGGTATTTTTGTTATTATGATTTAATACTTTCTACCAATTATTGAATGATTTAATTAAGTTCTTGTTAACAGTTACATGTATATTTTGTGAAAGCTGTCCTGTGAGTGGGTCTTGTACCTGTTTAGGCCTTAAGCAATATAAGAAATTGAAATTTCAGTATATACAGGGTGTTCAAGTAATTTTGATTTTCACAAAAATTCGTGTTTTTGGAAAGAGCGAAAATTATTGTGATGAAGTCGAGGACATTTTGGCATATTCTCATCTGAATGTGAGTAGTAGGGTTATTGATCTTTCATTTCGAGAATCTACGAAAAAAATTACGCTTCATCTGAATTCTGAAACTTGATTTTTTGTTTCTTATTTTTTCTCCACAAAATATTACGATGATCCAAATGCCAAGTAAGGAGTAATCGCAAACAAGTTGAAACTCATTTACATAGTAAAAATTGAAGTACAATCAGCACAAAGTGTAGTAGTTTGTACCAGAAGAGACTGATTTAATTTTTTCTTTATTTTGAGTCATGAGCACTAGAGTAATGGAAATTATTTTGAAAAAATAAATTAGACAATAGTATTGTGCTTACAATTTTGGGTGGAGCCTTAAATTATTCTGCATTTGCTAAAAATGACAGATCAACCATTCTATTACTTACTTTCCTTTACTTTTTTTATAATAACTTGTAATGCACTGTTTGGAACCTTCTTCGTTAACTGAATCGATCAGGGCAGTGCTGCTTCAAACCTTCCCGAGAGGATATTTGGAGTCATAGGTGAGGTTTCCGTAACTTCCATTTTTTATAACTATTATTTATCGAACCATATTTCATGTTTCAGTTGTCTTCCAATATTTAAAACTGAAATTTTATTTTCACATGTTCGTTTCCTGTAATCGGGTTTTCACGTGTTCATTTCCTGTAATCGGGTTATCACCTGTATTTTCACATGTTCGTTTCCTGTAATCGGGTTTTTACCTGTTGATTCCCTGTAATCGGGTTTTCACCGGTTAATTCCCTGTAATCGGGTTTTCATCTGTTCATTCCCCGTAATCGGGTTTTCACCTATATTTTCACACGTTCGTTTCCTGTAATCGGATTTTCACCTGTTACTGCCCTGTAATCGGGTGTTCACCTGTTAATTCCCTGTAATGGGGTTTTCATCTGTTAATTCCCTGTAATCGGGTTTTCACCTGTTCATTCCCTGTAATCGGGTTTCCACCTATATTTTCACATGTTCGTTTCCTGTAATCGGGTTTTCACGTGTTCATTCCCTGTAATCGAGTTATCACCTGTATTTTCACATGTTCGTTTCCTGTGATCGGGTTTTCACCTGTTCATTCCCCTGTAATCGGGTTTTCACCTGTTCATCCCCCCTGTAATCGGGTTTTCACCTGTTCATCCCCCCTGTAATCGGGTTTTCACTTGTTCATTCCCCGTAATCGGGTTTTCACCTATATTTTCACATGTTCGTTTCCTGTAATCGGGTTTTCACCTGTTACTTCCCTGTAATCGGGTTTTCAAATTCCCTGTAATCGGGTTTTCATCTGTTAATTCCCTGTTATCGGGATTTCACCTGTTCATTCCCCGTAATCGGGTTTTCACCTATATTTTCACATGTTCGTTTCCTGCAATCGGGTTTTCACCTGTTAATTCCCTGTAATCGGGTTTTCACCTGTTGATTCCCTGTAATCGGGTTTTCACCTGTATTTTCACAAGTTCGTTTCCTGTAATCGGATTTCCACCTGTTCATCCCCCTGTAATCGGGTTTTCACCTGTTCATCCCCCTGTAATCGGGTTTTCACCTGTTCATCCCTGTAATCGGGTTTTCACGTGTTCGTTTCAAATACGATTTTCACGTGTTCGTTTCAAATACGATTTTTACTTGTTGGTTTTGAATCGAACTTTCACGTGTTGTAAAAAATATTACTGAAGATTTATCCCAACACCAAATCGTTATTTTAACACTTTTACACGTGTTTCGATAACCAAGTGATCATCCTCAAGAGGAAGTTTAATCTTCCTCTTGAGGATGATCACTTGGATATCGAAACAGGTGTCGAGGTGTTGAAATAATGGGGTTTGGGTGTTGGGGTAAAACTCCAGTAATGCTTTTTTCTTCATTAATTTTAGGCTTTTAAGAAACACAAATTTTTGTAGAAATGAAAAACAAAATTACTCGAAAATAGTCAGGAAAATGACCTCTCCCATCACTCCATTGAGCTTGATCCATTACTTATGGGGCACCCTGTATAAATATGAAGCTGTGAGCCCTGCCACCTTTCACGGTCAACCAATTTAGGACTTTTGAATGTTATATTGAAACTTAAAGACCAGTATATTACCTGATCTATTCGAGAGGAGAAAACTACAAATTTCATTAGGTATCAATTGTCGAAAGAGATGAACGTGAAGAGCAGAATCTCATGACGAGGAAGAACACACGCGATCAGCAGATGCTCCTACCCGAACCGCAGCCCATACAGGATTACTACGACCGTTTGACATTCCATCCAAACTGCGGCACCCATGCAGAAGTTATCAACAATAGTCGCACCGCCCACAGACCCAACGCTGCTGATGATTTCAATAACGGGGTCGTTCTGACCGCGAGGCCCTTGAAGACCGGGGAACTTTTCGAAGTAAGGCTAGACAGGTATGTACAAGAAGAATCGCTGGGTTTTAATCAAGGTTTTTACATTGATGTAATTGAAAATTTACATCATCTTCAATATAAATGTACCATGACTTACATTTGATGACTGATATTGTTGGAGTGAACAGCAAATATCAGTGTTTTTTTAACTAAATACTGTTATCTTTCAGGGTTGTTTCAAAGTGGGCAGGTTCAATTGAAATTGGGGTAACAACCCACAGCCCTACCGACTTGGAATTTCCCTTCACCATGACAAATGTGAGGTCGGGCACATGGATGATGACAGGCAGCGGTATAATGCACAACGGCACTATAGTTCTAGAGCAGTATGGGGTAAATCTGGACAGGCTGCAAGTGGGGGACCGAGTGGGAGTGTTGAGGAAAGAGAACGGCGTTTTGCACTTCTTCGTTAACGGAATTGATCAAGGCAGTGCTGCTTCAAACGTTCCCGAGAGGATATTTGGAGTCATAGGTGAGGTTTTGTAACGTCCATTTTTTTATAATTATTATATATTGAACCATACTTCATTTGTTTTTCCATATTTCGGACTAAAATTTCATTTTGACGTGTTCGTTTCCTGTAATCGGGTTTTCACGTTTGTTTCCTGTAATCGGGTTTTCACGTGTTTGTTTCCTGTAATCGGGTTTTCACGTGTTTGTTTCCTGTAATCGGGTTTTCATGTGTTCGTTTCCTGTAATCGAGATTTCACGTGTTCGTTTTCTATAATAGTTTCGAATCGGGCTTTCACGTGTCCATTTGTAAATGAACTTTTCGAGTCGGACTTTCGTATGTTCTATTCGAATCGGACTTTCACGTGTTCTATTCGAATCGGATTTTCACGTGTTCGTTTCAAAATCGGATTTTCACGTGGTCGTTTCTAATTGGATTTTCACGTGGTAGTTTCGAATTGGATTTTCACCTGATGGGACTTTACGAGTTTGTCTGAATAGGAATTTGACGTTTTTGGCAAAGGTTTTGGCTTTGATTTTCACCTGGTAGGATTTTCACGAGTTCGTTTTGAATAGAGATTTCACATTTTTTTGAAAAAAGTTTTGGCTTCCTACTTCTCCGTCTGGAAAAAAATTCACACATTTTTTTGTGTCAAGATAGAGAAGTATAAAGTCAAAATCTTTCTTTCCCAAAAAATAAATGAAAATTTCGAATTCATAGTTTCAGTTCTGATTTTTTTTCGGAATCGATTTGNCATAATGATAAATGGGAAGACCATCAAAAATAATTACAATTTTGATCTGGACTCGCTCACGTCTGGCGTCAAACTCGGCGTGATGAGATCAGCCGACAAGTCATTGGAGTTTTACAAAAATGGCGTTCCGCAAGGTGTTGCTTGTATTGTCCCGCATGCCAGCATCTACGCAGTTGTTGATCTCTATGGACAATGTGCGCAGGTCAGCATTCCCTGTGCTTCTCCCGTGGCTGCATTGGCGTCCACAGGTAAGGTTTTCATCATGGAATAGTTCCATTACCTACTGGTTGAGACTTGGTCTTTTGAATTCGTGTTTATACAGAGACTTCAGATAGGCAGAGTTGGTGAACCATTGAGAATTACTAATTGCTTTTCAGTTGAAAAGTATAGTTTTTCCAGACTTGATCTTTCAGTTAGACATTGTAAACACAGCAGGGGGCCAACCCTGAAATTCAATATGTCTCTGTACACTATTCAGCATATGAGAATATTCTCTTTATGTCTACCCTTCATAGTTCATTAAAAATCTGCTCTGAAGAATCAGTAATTCATTGTAGGAATAGAAATGTCTCATCGTTCCGACACGTCAGCGTCTCCCCAGGCGACCAGCGTGGTACAGCCTCCTGTCGAGTCGGATCTCCACCACTTCTCGGACTTCCACAGCAAAGGAGTGACGCTCGACGAAAGACGCAGACACGCCATCAGATCCAAGGACGTCAGCAGCTGCGTTCTTTTCAGCGCGACTCCTCTGGTGCAAGATGAGATGTTCGAGATATCAGTTATGAAAATGTGGAGGCACATGGCAGGCACCCTGTCCATAGGAGTTACGGAAGTCGCACCCGCACTGAGTTCCAACAGCCTTTTAAACAAGTGCTACTATCTCACGGGGAATGAGTTGCGTTATAATAATAAGGTGAGGAGAGAATGTTATTCACGTAGAGTGACTTTCATGAGTATTTTCGGTCAGAGTGACTTTCATTTGTATTTTCGGTCAGAGTGACTTTCATTTGTATTTTCGGTCAGAGTGACTTTCATTTGTATTTTCAGGTCGGCGACTTTCATTTGTATTTTCAGGTCGGCGACTTTCACGTGTATTTTTGTTTAGCGACTTTCTTATGTATTTTGTGTTTAGAGACTTTCTTATGTATTTTGTGTTTAGCGACTTTCATATGTTTTGTAATTCGGCGACTTTCTTATGTATTTTAGCTCAGAGTGACTTTCATATGTATTTATAGCTCAGAGTGACTCGTGGTTTTTTTTTAATGTTGACACTTGAATACAGATGTTCATGCGTGAATGATTTCAGAAAACTTGAAATACTCACTGTGCACTCATTATATTTTTATTTCTTGTTATGTTTGTCTAGAAGCATCTCTCAAAACAACAGTAGAGATTCTGTAAAAAAAAATTCTAACCTGATTCATGAAAATTTTGCAGATTCTGCAGTTTTTCACTCCAAGTCTAAACTGGCTGAACTGCGAGGATCGTATCGGAATGCTGCGAACTCATGATGGCAACATTAAAGTTTTCATCAATGGAGAAGAGTTGGCAGTTAACTTCCCACCGTTACCAGATGTCTTGTACGCTGTTTTCGATATGAAAGGAAACTGCTGCGAAATCTCCGTAACTAGTCACAAGGCTAGCCTGTCTCCTCTGAACAGCGTCAGGTGAGCGAGAAACTCATAATTTCACTCGGATCAAGTTTGCTGCTATTCCTCATAATGTTCTGAGTTTCAAAAGTAGACTTGATCGTTACTCTAAGCGCTCTAGCAACCTCTGCATGTTTATGATGGTTTTTTCAGGTTATGGCGATCTTGACACTCAAAGAGCAAGGTTTCCTCAGATGATACAGCGGGTGGATTAGAGATTGTTTTGTTTCTCAAAGATTTAAGTTTGCTCACTTCATTTAGTAGTCCTTCTACATAAATATATCAGTGGATTCGCACAAAAATCCTACTCAGTACCAGTTGTTTTTAACGATTTGATTGGGCACTTCAATGTATATCAAGCCAGATGTTCCAATCCAATAATAGTGAATATCATAACTTTCAGGCTTCAAGACAGCTTGGAACTGGTTCTGGAGCAAGAGCAGGCGCCCGAACTGGTGGAAACGAGGGAGCACCCCCCCGAACCGGTCGATACCCCAGCTCCCCATCCTGCTGTCTATGAATTCCACGAAAACCACGGCAGAAACGTCGAGCTACTCGACAGCAAGACGACCGCCCGCAGAGTCGCTTCTTACAATCAGGGCATAGCGGTCGTTCAGCCCCCTCTGGAAGCGGGCGCTAAAGTTGAGATAGCCGTAGAAGTGTTGGAAACCCGGTGGAAGTCTTCGCTCATCGTAGGTTTGATTGCCGGAGCGCCCGACAGGCTGAACATGCCGGTGAACGCGCTTGGATTGAAGGGGCCTGGTTGTGTAGTTGCCAGCGACTGGGTGTCCGTTAACGGAGTGAAGGTGTGTTGGAATTTTATTGAAACAATATTCGAGAGACGTCAAAAATACCGCATCATTTCTCAAGTCCTATTTTGTTAGATTCGATAAGAGTAAATCACATATTTTCATACCCACTTCAGAAGTCCCACAGACTAGAAGTTGGGATCTCCTCTTTAGTTCTTCCCAGTTGGGCTGTTTATAGTATTCGGCAAAAATATATTTTGTTGTTCTCACTTCATATGTGTTACAAATAATGTTCATGTCATATGTTAAGTTCTTCGAATGTATATATGTTGTAACTGTGAAATAATTTCGTCAAATACTTCTTTCTAGTCGAATTCCAATTATGGCCAGCGACTAGACTGTTTGGTGGCCGGCGATTCAGTGGGAATTTCTTTAACCGACTCTAAGAGTTTTCAGTTGTCGATAAATGGAATAGAAGAGGAGCCTCTCGGTTGGGATTGTCCAGAAGGGCAGTCTGTCTTTGCTGTTTTTGATCTTTACGGACAGTGTCAGCAGGTCAGTTCTATGTTTTTTTTTCCTCTCATTTTGTACAAAATATGTTAAGCCTCAAGGTCAAACGTCATATTGCCAAGTCCCTCCTTCACACACAGTCTTTATACGTGTAAGACGAGAAGAACGAGAAAACGTCGAAGATAATTTACACCCAGTTGTCATTCAACTATGAAAACATCCACCTTACTCAACAGATTTAGCTCCTTGTGACTTATATTCCCGAAAGTGAAGGAGGCCTTGAGAGGAACCCGTTTTGATACAGTGGAAGCTGTGAAGGTTAAATAAAGCAACAGAAAAAGAGTTGAAACTTTGTTTTGAACAGTGGAGGGGAGTATGTCGAAGGCGATGAAACAAAAATTGTGAAGGAAAAAAGAAAGTGACTCGAAAAATCCTGTCAAACCCCGTATTCGATAATATAACATACGGTGTACACGTGGCAAGTCGAATAATATAAACGATATAATTAAAGAAAAAAAATCAATAAAAAATGGCTGAAAAAATTAATGGGCTGGGGATAGAACCTTGTGGAACCCCAAGAGGGACAAACCAGTAAACTATTGAAGTCTAAAGTTCAATATCAACATTGTCTAATAATTTTAAAAATTGAAATGCTACAATTTTGCAAATATAAACAAATAAATGATATTCTTTCTATGCTAATCGTTTTGAATTTAAACAAAGTAAAACTCTTAATGCAATATCATTTTATTAGTTCTCATTTTATGCTATCACTTTTTGTCAGGTTCGAATTTTGAATGTGACGCCAGCGATAGAAGAACCACCAACTCCTAAGTCAGGTATTGATTGCGAAAAAGCTGATTTAGAATCGTGTGAAAAAGAGAGGTCGGAAACGAAACTAACTCTCCCTATTCCGTCAGCTAGTACAAGTCTGACCAGCTCAACTGTCGTCAGGAATTCGCCCGTCGCGACCCCCATGAAATTGTGCAGCCATAAAGAGGAATGTGAGAGGTTCAAGAAGAAATTGCTTCTGCCAGGTACGGATTGGTTCGTATTCTCGATGAGGTCTTATTTTATTCTCTGTTTGTTTTCAGATATATATTTCAGTCCCGAAGAACCAACCTGTTACTGTCAAAATTGTTATAAAGTGAAAAGTTCAGATGCTGATAAAGACAGTTACATTCCAGGTACAACTAACTTTCTTATATTTTAAAGATATTTGTCTTCTGAGTTTTTTGGAACTGCTGATCGTTCTTATTTTCTAAAAAACTCGGGGTTATCCCACTGCTGACACCAATTTTTTTCATGCCCCACCACTGAGAGAAATTTCATTTATTTCAGGATGGGTTAAATTTCCATTAGCGAGTGGTGAGATTGTGTCTACCGAAAAATGGCACACTGCATTTTACTTTTGCAAACTGGGCGCTGTTCGATGTATTCTGGATAAAGGACAACCTTTGACTGACGGTGATAAACAATGAATCACACTTGATGCACTTTTTCATTGTAGCGTGTTTATTTCAGAGCAAGCGATGTGGTGTAATTTCAAAGCTCAAAAATCGGACGACCTACAAATAGTATTTTACCCGGTTCCTCCAGTCCAATGGGGGAAACCGCTTGAAATCGAAGGTGGAAAAAAGGTTTATGCTGCGTTTCAACTGTCGGTCAAACCCGGAGCATATTCTGTGTTGAAGAAAGGAAATTTGGTGGAGTGGAGCACTAAAGAAACGGGGGCGATCGCGATGAATGCTCTGCTTTTGAAAATTGTTTAGAGTGTATTCCGAAAAGTGGGTGTGATATTTTTTTCGTCTCAAGTATTTTGATATTGTTCTGAGATCATTTTGAATTAGCACTGATTTTATTTGGTGTGTTTGAGAAAGAATGAGTGGGGTGGAATTTGAAAATTGGTGAACCAAAAGAATTGAAATGAGAGAACACGAAATACTGCAGAATGCCGACGTTTAATTTGTATGGGAGGTGGTTAGAAACGATATTGAATTGTGTTTGAGGAATTGAGTGAGAAATAAAATGGAATATCTGTTTTATCACATTCAATGAATTATCGATTAATCATAACAAACCAACAATTCACCTGAAATTCAACAAATCGTCTACAAATTTCAATATTTACCATTCTACTGCAATATTTATTTTGCGTCATATTCTTCGGTGGAAATCATCTCCCCATTGATAATTCTTTTATATTAAAAGATCAATTACACTGATTTTGTAGTGGTCGACTACTGGAAAACTAAAGTGCGGTGACATCTGTGGTCCATATATCATAATGTGGATAGGCAAACCTTTTTTCTTTTGGACCTTGACTCGCCGTAATTTCATTTTCTAGACATCAACAGAGACCAACAGTAAAATGTATTGAATTTTTATTTTGTAATTTCAATCGAAAATTGAATAAATACTAAACAATTAATAGAACTTTTTATTTGCTCTCAAAAAATTGTTCGATAATAAAATTAGATGTCATAGCGCCCTCTATTGACCAGAGACGAAAGCTCAACAAGATAGTGCAAAGGTTTAAGTTTAGATGGTAGCACGACTCATTGGTAACTGGCACCATCTGTTGGTCATTGGACAAAAGTGAATTCCGAAAAATTAGTTTCCTTAAAAAATCTTTTTATATACAAATATGTTTTTCAAAATGCCGCCAGATGACACTAGTTGTTTCGGAAAGGTAGATTTTGTCCCAAACTAACCACCCCAGACGTGAACTGTCTTAACATATCGAATTGGATTTTAATAATTACGGCTGAAATTCAGTTGTGTAAATTTTTTCCTAATCTTTGTAACTGATGAATCCAGCGTTTCTAAGGGCTAATATCTGCATTGATGTTGAGGAAAAAGTTTCAAGAATGGCGCTCTGTTATAAACTTTAGAAAGCTTTTCTTGGGGGAAAAATATGATTCTTGGAAAAAATTCAAAACGATTTAATTGACGTGTAATCGGATGATTGCTCAGACAACCAACAGGTGGCGCCATTTATAGATAGCGGTGGAATGCTCAGTTGTTAATGATAAATTAAGATGCTTTAACATGGGATGGTGGGGGGGACCCAAGAAACTATTCCAAAGAAGATACTTTTTCTTGCTGGAGTTGATAATCAATACTTTTGATTAGTTATTTATCACTTTTTTCCTGAAAGCAATTACATAGCCCCCCCCTTTCTGTAAAAAAAAAAACTAACCAATGACAGTGGCGACTTCAATTTATACACTATTGCTGGGCACGAAATAGTGATCAGTAAGTGGCGCTATCTATCGGACATTTCTGAATTTTAAAATTATTTATTTATTTTATTAACAAATTTTAAACTCCAGAGCTGATACACACATACAATGACCTCACTAAATTGTAAATTATAACAACATATAATCACTAATACACCTTTGAATTTAAAATTACAAAAAATAAAATTCTGGGACCTCAACAGATAAAATCAAACAGCTAACCGAAGGCAGAGAGGTAGTTGCGCTTAAAATACTTGTAGCTCGGCAACAAAGGTTCCCATTCAATCTAAAAACAACATAAAATGGGTTAATACTTGAAAACATATTCCTAAGATCACAATTTGTTAGGGAAAATACCGGGGGATTTCTTCATGACGTCCTGAAAATGTCTCCTGCCGTCGATGTACATCATTGCCTCATGGTAGGTCATCGGGAAGACCTCGTTGACCATTTCCGGGACCTGATACGTGAAATGGAAGGTGTTGGTGGAGTCGTTCTTTCCCGTGATGGGATTATAGGTCTCCACGTGCACCAATATCTGGATGTAGTTTATCTGCGTGTACACAACTTGGGCGTGCATTTGAATTAGAGAACTGACAGCGATGGGCCGTTGAAACTGGATGTCGCTGATACTCTTGAGAGTGGGACGATATTTGCTGAACATGTAGCCCAAAACCTGCATGGAAAACAAACTATATTGAAGTTGTTCGGGAGTACAGACAAGCGGCGAGTTCAGAAGCGATACTAACAAGTCGTTTAAAAATGTTGCAAACGATTGAAATTACAGGCAGAAATTATTTCTTGCATTAGTGAAAAATTATACTTACCCAACTCAATTCCTCAGCTTGGGCCATGATGAATCCTCCAAACACGGTGTTATGCATATTACGTTCTTCGGGATGGGAGAATACTACATTGGAGATCGATGCAGAGTTCATCCATACACAACCCGGAGGAAGAACCCTGTTTCGGTGACTGATTTCTTTGTTAACTGTCCTCAAGTAGATGTCATGGATGATCTTTTGTTCTTCACTGTCAGGGATTACCTAAAATAAATACAACAAAAAACAGTATGTGACAGTTTCCTCATTGTTTGGATTTCATACTGTTAAGCTATTCACCCAGGTTACGCCACTGGCCGGCAATGTGCCGCCACTGGGCGCAGCGGGAAATTCAACAATCAAATATATTCAATGGCCTTGAATAAATTAGTAATTTTGTAATTTGCCAAAGCTAACTTTTCCTTCAACAGCACATACTTTCTATTAGAAGAGGTTTGACGTTCCAGTATAGTTTTATAGTTAAAGTTATTCGACGTTTTGACATCGACTCTGAAGCATTTCAAAGAACTGGAAAGTATGACTACATTACAGTCTCGATCTAACAACTTATCAAGTAGTGACACGCGTTCAAGTTTTTGTGACTTGACATCAGGGTCTCAATCCGACAACTCATCAGGTAGTGATATGCATAAACAGGTTTCGTGACTTGCCATCCAGGTCTCAATCTGACAACCCAACAGTTAGTGATACCCTTTGAAGGTTTTGTGATTTGACGTCAGGATCTCAATCTGACAAGTCATCAAGTAGTGATACGTATTACAGGTTGAGTAACTTGACACCAGGGTCTCAATTTGACAACTCATCATATCAGGTACTGAAACCCATTAAAGTTTTGTGATTTGACGTCAAGGTCTCAATCTGACAACTAATCAGGTAGTGATATATAAACAGGTTTCGTGGCTTGACATCCAGGTCTCAATCTGACAACCCAACAGTTAGTGATACCCACTGAAGGTTTTGTGATTTGACGTCAAGGTCTCAATCAGACAACTAATCAGGTAGAGAAACACATTAAAGGTTTTGTGACTTATCAGAATCTCAATCTGCCTACTTTCCAGACCTCCACCAAATCTCATACAAGAATTGCACAATTAGGCAACAAAAAGCGAACATTTAAAAATGTGTTGACCATTTTTAAACACAAAAATTTTACGTTCAGTGAATCTCTTGCATATAATGGCCCCCTATTCAATACATATCTTAAGACGTTGAACACATGCATATAACACGATGCCAGGCTCCGTGCATTCGTTGTTCCAACCACACCACAACTTCCAGCGAAGATTTGCCAACCCAACTGACGTGGCCGGAGATCTTAATGTCCTCTTGAGGCTGAAATGGGGGCAGATTGTTAGGTGGAAGAGTTTGAAAAGCCTGTCATCTTGGGTGTCGTTACCTTCGGTGTGAAGTCTGTGAAATCGATTTTATCTACTAGTGCAGTGACCAAAGTATAAGGAGACACTTCATTCGGAGGCTGCTTCGGGTTCACTATATGTTTGTGAGCGACCATCACTGAAAAAATCATCGAAAGTTGACTTGCACATTTTTAATGACCACGTTTTGTAATCTCTGTGGCAATTAGGCCTAATGTTTTATCTACCTCAGTTGTAGAAGGAAATTTAGGCATAAAGACCCGGAAGTGGAGTTTCCAATCTTTGAAAATGATATTTACTTACCGGCAAAGATGTCCATATCTTCAAGTAACCTGCCGATTCTCACATGACCGAGAAACGTTACATATTTGTCCTGCAACACCTTATCCGAAGACAGCGGGATGATTCCAGCCAGGTAACTGTCTTCCATGGACCGTTTCGGAAGTTCCTCTTGTGTCTTGGGCAGGAATTTCAGCAGATGAGAACGGTCCTTTGGTATAGGATGATATCCCGAGTCGACTCCCATGTCCTTTGCCATATTCAACTTTACTTGTGGAAGAGAAAGTCAAATTGAAGATTTGCATGAAGAAATGAAAGAAGGTATGTTGAATCCTTGTAATGAAAGAGTTTGATCAATTCATTTTACAAAATAACTACCATCAACCTTGAAATGTATGGATTTCAAAAAAACGTCGCTGGACTCGAAATTCTTCAAACTAGAAAGGTTATTTATATGCTCAACAAAAGTCAGCTTCTTGTCAAATAAAACCCCTGAATCTTTTGCCGCCTCACTAATGGAAAACATGAATTCCTGTGACTCAAAACTAAAGACTGTTGCAAGAACTCACCTTGAATTTTTCATTGTGGATTAGGAATTGAGACAGGCATTTTTCACTTACATTGTGTTACTGTGGGATACACAGGCTCTGGGGTGGTTGAAAACATCTTGATCCGATCGATTCCAAAGGTACTATAACGCAAAATATCTGTGTTAATTACTATCTCAGTTTACGGGTTACAAAGGTCAAGAACTTCAAATCGTAAACTGATAAAATCAACTTTTATAACTGGCGATCTTTCTCCGCATCGTAAAGGTCAGGAATGTACACAGAAATTTACTCACCTCCTGTTTGCTCCAAGAAGGTAACGGGAAGTTAGCAAACGAGCAAAAATTTTCGGTGACATCCTACTGATGACGATGTGTTTTTTTATTAATATAAATAATACTGACAGATCCTATAACGATTTCTTGAGTGATATTACATCATTGTTGAGAGAAATGTAAACAACAGATAGCAAAAAAATTAATTTGTAGAGGGGAAAAAATAATTCACAATATAAGTTTTTATTTTTGGATTGCGACATTTGATCTGATTCCCTAAATTCGGAAAAACGATACCGTAGTGCCATCTTTTATTGAATAACTGAACTTTTTAATGTTTTCAACAGAAATCTATAAAACATTGGTCGCGAGCGGCTTTTGACGTTCGAATATAATAACGTATAGTTGAAATGTTTTATATGTTCAGAAAGCTAAAATTAAATATGTATCACTATCTACTACTTCTTTTTGTTGGAATTTTCGAGAATTCAGTCACTAGATCCCGAAGTATCATGCAAAGGTACAATTTGTTAGAATCTTTCAGATTAGCTCATATATTTCAATGTTTCTCGATGTTTCAACAGCATTTTGCTGTATGGACCTTGGTGTTTTTGGGAACTCAACATCATCTCACGAACACAATTCAAATCTCAATTCAAACAGATCCATTTGTTGAAGAATCTCGTGCCCCATAAAATTCATGTTACATTTGAACTACCGTGACACTGATGACGTTTGTCATTCATTTGTTTTTGTGTCAATCAAAATATTGTTAAATCTTCTAGTACCTTTAATATATCACAAGAAACATGAATCTAAGCAATAATAAATATATTCAAGTAGCAGGGAGCACGGCGGGTATCACAAGCAGCGACAAAGTGGTCCAAGACATTCTGAACACCTTCACGGATCTCAGGCATTACTCCAGGGAGATCGAAAATGAACTCAAAACCACCGAAAATCAGTCCATAAAGGTGTACATGGAAGAAAGCGAGAACATAGCGAGTCTACACAATCAGATAACAGCCTGCGACCAAATACTGGAACGGATGGAGAACATGTTATTAGATTTCCAAACCGATCTAGGGAGCATCAGCACGGAAATATTGACTTTGCAGAGAAAGTCAATATCTATGAGCCAAGAACTAACGAATAGGCAAGCAATTAGAGGTCAACTGAGCCAGTTCATAGATGATATATCAGTTCCGGAGACTTTAATCGTAGGGATAATGGATCTGTCGGTCACTGACAAGGAGTTTTTGACGCAATTACAAATTCTCAACCATAAAATCGGCTTTCTGAAAGAGCAGAGCTTCAAAGACACCAAATCATGCCAGGACGTGAAAGACGTTCTTGAAAAACTGAGGAACAAGGCCATGGCGAAGATAAGGCATTACCTTCTCGAGCAGGTATCGAAATTCCGAAAACCGATGACCAACTACCAAATCCCTCAGAATAACTTGCTGAAACACAAGGGTCACTACGAGTTTCTACTGTCGAATGAGAGGAACATAGCCGAAGAAATAGCCAACGAATATATAGACACGATGAGTAAAATATACTACTCCTACTTCAAATCTTATGACAGTCGGATCATGAAGTTACAGTACGAAGAGACGACCACAATGGATGATCTCATGGGCATAGAAGACACTGCTACGAGAAGCCTCTTCAACAAATCTCTGAAGCACAAAGCAACAGTTTTCACGATAGGCAACAGAGGCGATATTTTGAACCAGCAATTGGAAGCCCCTATCATTGTGCCCCATGCCGAAACAAAGAACAGGGTATGTTTCTCATGAGTGTTCTTACTGCATGTTGAAAAGTTTTCTTTCAGTATCCCTTTGAAGCCCTGTTTCGCAGTGTGCAGTACGCTTTGGTCGATAACGCCTGTAGGGAGTATCTGTTCATTAGCGAATATTTTATGGCTAAGAACCAAGCTGCCTTGGATCTGTTCAATAAAATCATGGAGAAAACCCTTACGCTGCTCCAGGTAAATCTCAAAACAGCCACCTTTTGAGAATGATGAAAATCTGTTACTTTTTATAGAAAAATTTCAAAACCTACATGTCGAGTTGCTTCGATTCCATAGCCGTTTTCCTTTGCTTCCATTTGGTGCTGAGATACAAGATCATGTGCCACAAGAGGTGCGTACCTGCCCTAGATCAGCATTGGGAAGTTTTAGAGAATGTACTGCTCTCGAGGTTCGAATACATCGTTCAGCTGAACATCAAAAGCATCAGAGATTGCGATGTTACCAAGTTCAATCTGGAGTTAGGACCCCATTATGTAAGTTGGGAAAAAAGAAATTCACGAAAGTCACATTGAAGGCAATTGAATCTGAAGATGTCGAACAAGACACATACTGACACACTCACACGCATATACATACAACGCGCACACACAACATATACTCAACACACACACACACACAACATACTAAACACGCATATAAAATACACATACACATGCTGACACACACAACATTTACACGACACACACATAATATACACACATCACAATATACAACACACACTCAACACAAACACATACACTGACATACATACACACACCACATACAGTCAACAGAAACACACACACTGACATACACACAACAACACACACAATATACAAACACCACACACACAACATACAAACACCACACACACACAACATACAAACACCACACACACACAACATACAGTCAACACAAACACACACACTGACATACACAACACACACAGTCAACACAAACACACACTGACATACATACAATATACACACAACACATACACACACCACATAAAGTCAACACAAACACACCCACCACATACAGTCAACACAAACACTGACATACACACAACACACATAGCATAGAAACACTACTATTAGTCAACACAAACACATACACTGACATACCTATAATGTACACACACAACATACACACAAAATACACACACAACATACACACAATATACAGTCAACTCAAACACACACACTGATATACACACAGCACATACACACCACATACAGTCAACACAAACACACCCACCACATACAGTCAACACAAACACTGACATACATACAATATATACACACACAACATACATACAATATACACACACACAACATACATACAATATAAACACACCACATACAGTCAACTCTAACACACACACTGATATACACACAACATACATACACCACATACAGTCAACACAAACACACACACACATAACATACACATAACACATACAGTCAACCCAAACACATACACACACAACACATACACACACAACACACGCACAGTATTTATTTGTGGACCGTTGTCAAAGATATAAATTCAGGTACTCCTTTTCCAGATTGCCAGGCGTTACGCGGAATTCAGCGCCGCCCTGGTGAGCATCAGCGAAAACTTTCCCAACGAGCTGGTCAACAAGCTGCTGGCCGAACTCCAGGAAGAAGTAGAAATGTTTATACTCCGCATGGCGGGTGCCTTCAAGGAGCGCAAAGACCAGCTCATCTTCTTGATCAACAACTACGACATGATCCTGAACATCATCATGGAGCGAACGAGAGACAACTCCAAGGAGGCAGAGATATTCAAATCCCGTCTAGCCGCCAAAAGCGGGGAGTATGCAGAGCAGATATTGTTCCCGCACTTCGGCGAGATGATCCAGTATGTCAAAGAGTGCGAGCATTACTTCGAGAAGGGGAAGATCAAGGAACTGAAAGCTATGGAGCCCAAGTCGATCGATATTGTGCAGAACTTTACGGCAAACTGGAAGAAATCTCTGGAGGATCTCAACCGGGAGGTGCTGCTGTCTTTCCCCAACTTGGTTACCGGTTCCAGTCTGCTACAGCTTGCCCTCACGCAGTTGGTGCAGTATTATCACAGGTTTCACAAGCTCCTAGGCCCTACTATCAGGTCACAGCTTGTTAATATTCATCTCATCATGGTAGAGATGAAGAAGTACAAGACTTCTTTTTGAAGAGGTGCGAGTTTCGGAAGCTTCAGCGGATTACCAAATCAAGTACTTATCTCATTCCCTGTATTTATAATATCGAAATTTATTTATTTATTTTAATATATTGAAAAATTGCAACTGTTATTTGTTATCGAAGTTTTATTTTAAATTCCTCTCCGAATTAAACCATCATTGTCAGTATTGACAAAATTTAGTTGTAGAAAAAAAACTGGTATCGAGTTTCTGACCAAAATTTGACAAATAAAAGTGACAGAAAATGCTTAAAAAAATCTATAGAAACTAAATTAATGATTCACAAAACAAATTGGAACATTTTAAATTCCTCTCCGAATTGAACCATCATCATTGTCAGTATTGACAAAATTTAGTTGTAGAAAAAAAACTGGTATCGAGTTTCTGACCAAAATTTGACAAATAAAAGTGACAGAAAATGCTTAAAAAAATCTATAGAAACTAAATTAATGATTCACAAAACAAATTGGAACATTGACAATTATTTCACACATAAAACTGATGTTTTTCAGAAATTGATACAAATGAATTCTACAATTCTTACTTTTCCGTGAGATCTTCCATCAAATTTTCAATTGGATTAAACCCAAAAATAAAAAAAAACTGGACAAAAATAACATTGAAAATACGACTGTTTTTTTCAATATGTACTTCACAAAAGAAGTGACAATGTAATTCCCTTTTTGCTAGAAGAACCTCATTTCAAGATGTAATAGATTCACGAAACACCATGTCAACGACGTAAGAAGCATTGTCCGCTCGAACGGGCGTTAACTTGAATGCAGCTTTAGTGGACCCAATCACAGATATGAATCTGTGACCCAATCATAATTCTTGCAGATTTCCTGCTAACACCCGGAATGCTCGAGGTGTACTCTCAATGACCTTGGATCATTTCTTTTCAAACCCGGAGTGAAATCTGTTTCATTGGCTATAACGAATCAAAAGCCCGGACAATGGAATGACCACAGAATAATAAACAATGACAGCTCGATCGGACGTCAACTCGAAAGTAGCTAACGACAAATGACAGTGACAGTTGTAATTTGTAAATGGTTGCGTTTGTTGAGGCAGAAGTGAAAACGTAAGCTGGAAACTTGACAATGCACAATGGCTACGAATAATATAAATGAAAATATCCTGGATCCTATAGGATCTGACAAAACAGAATGGGTTCCCCTTACACTAACTTTAGTGGAGTATCAAAAAGGTGAGTACACTGACAAGTCCTTGCCTAATATCTTTTTCTGTGGCAGGAATCACTGTTATGAAAATGACTAGACCAATAAATTAAACCCTTCTAATAAACAATGTTTTAGGTGACCTTATAGGTCAGTTTCTGGCTCTCATCAGCTTGGCACCCTTCGGAATAGGCTCCGGATTTATAGCTTTAATTCTCTTTAGGCGAGACTTACATACTGTAAGTTTATGCAATCTTTTCGACTTTGAGTGACAGTTTCTGTTCCAGATTACATTTTTCTTAGGAACCCTCTTCTCAGAGATACTCAACTATTTACTGAAGCACACAATTTGCGAAGCGAGGCCTGTACATAGAGATGCGATTCATGTTGAATACGGGATGCCGTCGTCCCACGCACAGTTTGTCTGGTTTTTCGCAACGTACATCATCTATTTCGTCTTCATAAAGTAAGCAAATGTAGTTCAGTGGATATTCAATGAAGTTTTCGTGATGATTTGTGTTGTAGGCTTTACCACATGAATAATAACACAATTATCGAAAATCTTTCCAAGTTTTTGATAATATCTTCATCGCTAGTGATGGCTGTTTTAGTCAGTATAAGTAGGATATATTTGGAGTATCACACGTTTTGGCAGGTCCTGTGTGGAGCTGTGGTTGGAATATTATTTGCAACGTTCTGGTTTGCATTAACGTACCTGGTATTGACACCATTATTTCCACAGATCGTTTCTTGGTAAGCATATACAATAAACTCTTACGAAATACAAAAATTTGGGGTTCAATAGAAGCAATCTTTATAGGTTAAGTAGTTAAACAAAGCAAGCAAACAAAATGAGGTGTTCTTCATCAAGATCCCTCCAACTGCTTTGACAATCGTCCATTCACGATAATGTAGAACTGAATGTATGTTGTTTTCAGGAAAATATCGGAAATACTTCTCTTGCGAGACACCACCCTCATTCCGAACGTGCTTTGGTTCGAGTACACCAACACCCGGCAAGAGGTGCGAGCTCGAAGCCGCAAGCTGGTGAGCATGAAGTCCCAATGACGTTTTTTGGACGACAGTTTCAGTTTCACTTTGCCCTACCCTGTGGTCTACTTCTTCAGATCGTTCGTCTACTGGCCCAGGAAGCAGCGGTAACTCTAACGGAAACTGTGGCATCAACCGATAACAATCAATATTTTTATAAAACGGGCAGCTTTTCATCGAGGCAATGACGGAAAATATCGGTGGGGCGGCAAGCTAAATGGTGGAGTATGTGAAAAAAGATATTTTTTTTACGACCCGGCACTCTACCCACGGGAGAATTCCGCCTCGGATTTTCCTTGCCTTCAAAATCATTGCCGAAAAATTGTGTGTATCTGAGAACTGTCAATTTGTACGTTTTGGGAAACTGTCGATATTTCGATCGAGAGAGTGTTCTGTATTGAATATCCGGTCGCCTCTGTTGTAATAGTTGTAATTGTATGAATACGTTTTTTGACGGTGTGATTGTCGAACATTTGTGGTCTCTGTTAGAGTAGTTTTCGTCAAATTCGTTTTGTATATCTTCTCTTTGGTACACCTCTAAGACACATTCCAGGAAAAATTGCCAAATTATTTGTCTCTTTCTATAGGTTCAGCGCAGCATTTCGAAGACTTGAAGTGCGTCAAAATATCTTGATGAATAGTATAGTTTTTATCTTCCATTTTGTTTTAAAGTAAGTTTTTTTACTTTTTGTTTTAGGTGTTTAGTACAAATGTCTTCCTTTCCACAGTGGGGTCGATTTTCTTCAACCTGGCCATAATTACCACGCATCTTCATAAATAGTTTCTTATCATTGATATTGTCTGCAATGAGAAGTGCAGGTAAAGTGTTCAGACGCTTAAATCGACAGATATGGAGGTTCAAAACCATAACGAAACGGTCAACTGTTGTTGATTAACTGCAAACTTTTCGTTTTGTAGACCTAAAGTTGATTGCCTCCCATTTTCATGAGTGGCAGATTTTCAACATTTGGCGGAGCCCCTCTCACCTTGGACCAACCTAACCTGCTCACCTACTTCTAGTTGATGAAATTAACTATGATAGCTGGTTGAGACGGACCGGATTACCTTCAACTGTTAACGAAGGTAATCTGAAACCATCAAAGAAGCAGCTATCTCACTCTAACAAAAAAGGGGGGAGGTGACCCAGAACCTTCTTGAGTAACCTACTCAAGCAATATGCTCATTGACTTCTAACAAATGACAAAATATAAGAAAATGAATACTTTTGAATGAAATCTTAAATATTCATCTCTCCCAACTTCCTACACTCCTTACACAGTAGGTTCTGGTAAATGTCTGCAGGGAAATAACTACTTCCCCGGCTAATACCACGCTGGTCATTGAATTGTAGAAGTAGGGAAAGATTAATATTTTGAGATTTCATTCTGAAACTTTTATTTTCTTTAAATACAATGTTTGCGAATTCATGACCAGATGGTTTCACTACCCCACTGTCCTTTTGAGTTGGCAGCTTGTTTTTTTTTTCACCTTTGGAAATTGGCAAGCTCTGAGGAAACTTTTATACTTTCTTCCATTCTAATACTCTTGTAAAACTTTGTGTGCAATCTATTAAACATGAACATAATTCTGCTATCTATTATTTGTTATCTACTTTGTTGTTTTATTTATTGTTATTTTTAATTAATTTATTATTTTATTCGCTCGAAAATATAATCAAATGCAAATCTTCGATTTTGCATTGATTTTCAGTAACGATTGAAGTTTTTTGTACACCTCTGAGGGGTTTGTACTGAGGCTTTGGATTGGGCGTTCAGATATGTAGGTTTAGGTGAAATACTACTCAAATAAGCTTATAAAAGTCTGTGAATTTCACTATTTTTTCAAATTAACTTGGACGAACTAATCCTTGAGATATTTCATGTGTTAATGGAACAATATCACAATATCTGATGAATTTTCAGATATAAAATATTTCTTCTTGTCCTTTAAAGTTTTGTGAAGTTGAAAAGATCTTTCCACCTGTCTCGAGCTCTTTTGAGCAGTATTTTCATCACACAGAATGACAATTAGCGTTGAAATAAATTGTCCAGTTGGCACAAAATCTCTTAACTTGGCGTTCACCCTGTTTCGAGAAGAATCTTTGAGCAGGCTTCCGTCGTTTCCATTTTACTTTCTGACAAAGCGATTGGGAAACTTTGTGAATTAGCGTAAGATGTATGTGTGACAATTTGAATTTTCACTCTAGCAATCAAGAATATACTTAATAATGGTCGACTGATTTAAAAACTAGTTGGATAGACTTAAACGATAACTGTAGGTGTAATTTATGTGAAATTATGCTTACGATGTGACATTTTTTAAATTAGGATCCTTTATTATTGTTAATGTGCTTTTTTGAGTAGCAATTTTATTTGTGTAAGGGATGTGAAGAGACAATTTTGACCATTATGAAATAAACTGTTGAATAGCTTGGGGCGGTTTTACTGGTTTTCATCATTTATTTATTGATTTTCACTCGACATTTTGGTACACCAGGTAATGGTAGTGGAAAAAAAAACATTACAAAAAAGACAGCTGATATGATTCACCTGGACTAAAGTTTCACAACACAGAAGCTTCATATAACTCGAAAAGCTCTACCAGCAATTTCCTTCAAAATGTCTGGAGAAAGTCGTATGAAAAGCACTTCTCAACGGTTGATTTTACTGGTGCCAAAAAGCAATTATTCATTAACACAAGACTCCTTTTTATCCATTTTCATGAAACTAACAAAAGTTGCTTCACTCGAAATATTCTATCCCACAAACTAATAGTTCGATAGCTGTGAAATTTGTACACATTTTTTGAAGGTTAGAGTTAACTGAAAAATCATTTGTATTTAACACTAGTGGCGCCATCTATGTGTTAGCCTAGGAACTTTTCAGTCCGGATAATTATTTGCCTCTATAATATTGAAACTGAATCGTTTTCAAATATATAATGAATAAATATTAGTCTATTATGAGATGTTTGGCCTTCCTTATTTTGAAAAATACATCAAATATCGACAAAAAAATATTTTCAATTACTCTAGTTTCAATTTATGACTGGATTCATATTTTTTCAGAGCATTCCCAAAAATATATTAACTGTGTTATGAAAAATTAAAGTGACTTCAAAAAAAACTTACCTGGATATGCATAAAAGTAGAAACCATTCATTACTACGTAGTTTTGGAAATACTGTTTCTACAAAGGCATATATTCCTGCATCATCATAAAAACTCACTGTATTATAAAATTGACGTCATATTTGCTTGAGTGAAAGTTAGTTGAAAGGAATTGTCATTTATGTCATAAATTACCTGTCAATTAAAATACAACGAACCAAAATCATTATGTAACATTACAAGCGGCGTAACTGCTCAGTCCAAATCTCGCTCTTCACCCAAACCCAAAATGCCGCTCTCAAAACTTCAAATCGTTTGATGGAAAAGAAAAAGACTTCGAAGAAAAAAATCAAGGTCAGAAAGTCTCCCGTTTCGCCCGTACGTGTCTTGAAATTTGTATTATTTAATTTAGAAAAATGCTGTATTTTGTAGATAGTGAGTTGTACATCTGTTGAAAATTTTTTCATTCCGGTGGTTGCACTAGACTCGGCATGGAGTGGAATAGCTTTCAGGGAACCGGAACAAGTTACTCAAGAGCATACTCAAGGTAACAGAAAGCAAATCTTTTTGGCCTCTTTCTGTCTCTAATTTTTATGGTCTTTGCTTCTCATTCGAGCACATTTGGCCAGACTCATTCTGTCTATAGTAAACAGAAGCTTCGTTCGAGGGCGCAGCTGTTTTTTGGACACTTAGTAGTTCTTATTTTTTACTTATAGTATTACTCTGCCGAAGTATTTGTGGTAAAATTGCACTATATGCTGATTATTTTCAACTATATCACTTTGATCAACTCAAGTTAGTATTCGTTCTGATCTAAATGGTACACTCAACGTGTTATTTATAAAAAAAACACTAATTTTTTTAACTTATCTATAGAATGTTGTAAATTCTCAAGTTCTAGCAATTTCTACAGATCGATTTTTTCAAGAAAGAAGATACATTTCTAATAATAATCGAAGCATTTCAGTGGTATCATGAATTTCAAAGTTGATACAATGGTGTCTAGATATATAATCATCCATTAGCTAAATGAACCAGAAGTTTAGTTTGGTTTTTAGCAGAATTTCAAAACAACTGTTTCAACAATCAACCTCATAGACTAATCAAACAGAATACTAAAAGTGAAAAAAATTGTCACTGGAAATATCTTTTGATTTATCTATAGCTTTTGAACGTTCGAGTGACGAAATACTGATGGAAAAACTCTATTACTTCGTACCTTGAAGTGTGGCAAATGAGGTTCATGACAAAATTTTATTTCTTCAATAGTCAGCAACCCTGTTGTATATGAATGTAATAGCCTAGACCCTCCCTCCTTTCATTTCTTCTAGATATACCTGAAGAGGAAATTGAAATAAAAATCATCGACTGCGATGTCACGAATGAAGAACCCACACCTCCTATACTTTTGCTTTTTCCCGATTTGAGTAAAGAAGACTCTCAAATCCAGGTGCCTCTAGTGAAAGGAGAAATATCTACGAGAACTTTAACAAAGCTATTGGTCGGGAAAAAACCTAAAATGTCCTTACTCAGACATCGAAAGAAACCTTGCTTCAAGCAGGTAAGTCTACAGTTGGTCTTTTCATATTTTTTCCAGATATTCCTTCAAACCGATGAGCTTTTTTATTATGCATGTCATTTATTATTTATTCGATATCTTGGGGGTCCTACAGTGTTTCAAAATAGTTTTGTGAGGTAGTGTGTCTCTTCTATTAATTGTGCTCTATGGTTGGAGGTAGTTTGTGAGGTAGTGTGTCTCTTCTATTAATTGTGCTCTATGGTTGGAACACAGACGAAGATTGTCATTTGTCAAGTTTGTGAAAATGGATGTAAAATAAAAATTATTCAGAAATACAAGTTAGGTTTAACCCGAGTAAAGAAATATACAGAAACTGAATTATAAATATAATAAATACAACATATATTACTTGACGCAGTTGTCAATTTTTCACAAATGCATCCTCTAACTTTCCATCGTCTCCTCTTGGTTGGGAGGCGTATGGAGATTGTCGATAATATTTTTACCAAATCGCAACACCTGTTTTACTATACAATACCATCCTCAGGCGTTATTTCAAACCACTGTGTGCAAAGAACCAACTGTTTTTTGGATCGAGAGCTTTTTACTCTGGGAGTTTTCACGGACCAGACGCCTGAGCGTTTCCGTCACTTTCACTTGTTTCTTTTTTCAGAAACTTTCTCCCGTTGAGGAACTTACAGAAAGTGAGACATCTATTGAAATCATCCACAAACATCCTAAGAGAAAATCTAACGCCGATGAAGCATCTGCTTTCGCCGACGTCAGTAGTAACGACGAAAGTTCAATAAATGAAAACTCATTATCGAAACAAAGCAGAAGAAAACAAAACTTAACGAATGAAAGTGTTGAAAAGGATTCTAGAGATGATGTTACGGAAATTGTAAGGAAAACACTTGCAGATATAATTGGACCAGTGTTCGATGAAGCAGACGAAAACAAAGTTTCCACCGTTGATTCCACGGCAAAATGTGACGAAAAGGATTCACCAACTAGTTTTTGTAAAACGTTGATTGAAGTTGAAATAGACAAAATACTCAACGAATGAGTTAGTGTTGATCAAACTAGCGAATTCATTGAGTGACTGAAACAATACTAGTTAAGAGTAAAAAGAAACAATTTAATATTCTAGAAAAAAGGCATTCCATGCACTTTTATTATCATTATAACTTTGAATGAAAGGTTTTGAACAAAACTATTACATTAAAACTTATCCCCTCAGTTCAGAGTTTTTTCTATCAAGTTTTTACAATACATCATCTTCCGATAAATTACGCCGTACTGCCTAATCGCATCTTTCAAATATGTACATGAAATGAAAGGTGTTTTCTATCGTTGTTTTGTATTCAACTATTTATTCGATAATGATTCGTCGTGACGTCATTGATAATACGACTCGCCAGAATAGAATCATTCGAAACGCGTCAAAACTGTCGAATGGAAATGTAAATATTTTTTTAACCCATATTCGTATGCGTGCTAAATAGTAATGTATAAAGTGCTCAAAATGAACGAGAAATAACATATGCCCCATTAGCACTCTTGATAAAGAAATAAAAGATACAATATATTTCATGATTTTACTCACCGAGGTGCTGCACCAACTATCTGCACGTGTACAGAGTTGGGTTAATTTAAGATTCCTAGAAACCCTGGTGTTGGTAACGCTTAGATTTTGTTTTGAACTTTTTGAAGGAACCACCTGTTGCTTTTAACAACACTTACGAGAGTTTTCCCAAGATGGCGCTATTCTGAATTGTTCGAGTCCCCGCTGAGTCAGTCAAATTAATTATTATCTGTCATTGTCAAAAAGAATTTTCAACTTTTGGTATTTTGAAATTGATATTTAGGTTAATTCCATTTCTCGCGTCGAAACTTATTGACAAAACAAAAGCGAATCGCTAAAATCACCGGGGTTTCTATGCATCTTTGTTTAGTTCCAGAAATTAACATTATAAATGTTCACTGTTATCTGTTATCCACTCGCTCTTACAAAACAGTCATAACCACACAAAACACAAAATGACAGAATCATGACAAATTCCGTTTCAAAAACAATATCACTGGGTTGAATCATCTAGAATACGTCATGTTACGTCCTTGTTTCAACGTCAAAATGAATGTAATAATCACACACGAATACGCATCATACGTCATCAGTTTCATTAAATAACCTGTACTTTTTGTCTGTAGACAGCAATTGCTGCGCATGGTTACAATATTTACATGCCTCCGATTATTTATTTATTCAATTTTGAAAATACACTTGCTTTTACCTATTTAATAAAATAAAAACAACAATAAAAGTTAATTGGCGCTCCGGGGCGACTTCATTGATTCCAGTGGCGCATTTGCTTTTTCAGCTGCAGGAAAACCCGGAAAAACCTGCAGCACCACATCATCTGAAGATCTTGATCTAACAATGTCCTCTCTCTTATAAAACAAAAAGTAGGGTGTCTCCAGAGGCTCCAATAAATTCAATGCATCACCAGAACACTTCGTGACACGACTATCGTCAAACTTAAACCAGTCCGTTTCTTCCTTTACCAAGGCGTAATAATGACCAAATTCAACGCCAGAACCACAGTGAACAATGACTGCATGAATATTATAATAGTGGTCTGCTAGGTTGAAATGTTCATCTATTTCGAACCTTCCAAAGAGTTTCTTGCTTCCGTTAGAGGTTGAGTCTTGTTTGAAAATCATCAGTGTTATTATTAAATTGACTGGAGCCTCAGCTATACTTGTTTCCTTATAACAGTCAGTTAGTTTGGCGCATGTTTGACAATAAAGTCGATCATCACCTGTTAAAAATTCCATTTTCAGATGATTTAACAATAAGCTTTACACGGACTGGTTATTAGTCGTATTAGGAAAAGCTGGATGAAGTTCCAGAAATTCACATAAGTTTTCTTGAACATTTATTATATATTTCATTAGAAGAAAAATTACCATTTATTAGCAAAACATCAATAATCTGAAGATGCCGGAAACTACTTAACATAGCTTACACCAGATACTAAGAACATCGACAAATCAACTCAAGAAATATAAATACTCTGTTATGAAGTTTCCAGAATTTAAAACAGATTATTTTCTACAAAGATTATGGTAGGTCACGTACGCTGAAAAATACATGACCACGAAAGGAATTCAATGAAAAGCATGATTAGCTGTGCAATCTTAGCGCGCCACTGATTGATTCTTCTTCTTATCGATTTTTTTGGCTTTGATTCACGAGCAATTTGCCAGTCACCGGTATGTTTCGATTGTCTTCTCTATTGATGTGAAATGTTTGTGCCTACAGACTTTCCTGATCTTGATGAATATATCTATTAATTCCCTATCTCGCCGTTTAATTACAGTGATTTTACTTACCTACCTTCTAGTAAAATAATTTTATGGATAACATCATCTTCATTTGGTAATGCTCTGATTCAGCGATTCCTACCGCGAAAGTCCTTTTTTATACTAATTAGCCTCTGTTGATGCGAACTACGTTTTTGAAATGTGGTTTAAGCGGTGTGAAATTTCCTTTGGTTTTATTCTTTAAATTTTTTTTGGAACCTTGACTAAACAAAACTTGAATAACTTGAATTGATTTATTTATAATTATTGATTAACGATAACAGTTTGAAAATTTGTGTACAGCTTAGAAAGCGATATATGGTCTACTTTCACCTACATTTTTCTACTTCCTCACTATTATTTTTCTATTCGCTAATCATCACAAATTCATTGGTTTCTTTGTAGACCATACTACGTTTTAACAAGTTGTACTCAAAAGAGTTACAAGCTTTGTTGATATTATGTTTAATTGCACGCTGTCTATACGAAATTGACTAATTATTGCAGTCTAAAATAGCATACAGGGGACAGGCCAAAAGTACAAAATGACATTTCATCAAAAAAAAAAGAAACTAGTGTATCATGAAAACTGACAATTGCTCATTATATTAAACATGATATAGAGTATTTAGTAAATCAATATATTGAAACAAAATATTATTCTGTACCTTTGTAGTCCTGTATATTTAGATACACAATTGGACTTTATTTTATATAATAATTAACAGAGTAACAGACAAATTTATTATTTGATTAGAAAAAACTAGGAATATTCTTCAGGGTTTCTGAACATAATTATTTATTTGAATAATATTGTCATGATACCTTTGAGTTGAAAATAATCTTACCAATAGAATAAAAAAACTAATCACTATTTGGTTTCAAGATAATAAAGATTGGAAACTATTAAAAATTACAGATTAATCAGAGTATCAATACAAAACTACCAATAAATATGAGAATACTTGTATTTGAAGAGTTATAAAGCTTCGACCCTCTACTTTGTTTTTTATATGAAAATCATAACCTCATCTAATGAAAAATGATTTATTAAATAACCTCTTGCAAGACTTAAGTCATATTGTCTTTTCCTCAGCTCACAATTGGAATGTACTTTATTAATATAATAAACTAATATCTGTTAACACGGCATATGATGTATCTACAATATTCCATCCAGAGGCCTCATTTTGGAGTCATGGAAATCTTTTCCTCATGAGACCATGTTAAACTATCGACATAAGCCCTCAAATGTCAAATTACGTCATTATGACGTCAACTGCTATGGGTAGAAGATTCCCATGACTCGAAAATTATACCACTGGCAATAGAAGTTATCTGTTGGAAAAAAACAGGTCGATCAAATATATTTTTTGACACAATTAGAGTGAAGAGACCAATATTTATATGGTGAAATAGAAGTTTGCTATTTCTACCGCAGCATACATTTCAATTTTCTTCTTCTTCTTCTTTTTTTATGGTCTTGGCTTCCCTCACGGCGCAGTGTACCAGCATTTTAATTTTGACTAAGAAAACATTCCAAGAATGGTTTTGTCCATAGGTTTTTGATTGTAGCGCATTTTTTTTTTGAGAAAGTAAAGAGGGCTAATGACATGAGAAAAAGAATATTCAATTAATTTGGCCTCATATTGGTCCCAACACTCTAGGCCTAGGCGTTGTATACAAGTATGAGAATGAAAATACAAAAAGAGAACATGAGAAAGAACACTTTTTAGACAAAACATTTCTTTCATGTTCAATAAAAAAAATGTAGCTCTTAAAAAATTACAATTCTTTACGTTTTTTCAATATTTTTGCACTGTAAATGAAAAAAAAACAGATATGCAGTCTCTCAAGAAATGTTCTTTCATTATTCATCACAAAACATCAAATATACACGCAAAATCACATTTTCCTTGGAGACAAACACCGAGAATCGAAATGACACCGATAGTGCAGGTTTTTTCTTAAGATTATATTAAAGGAGACTGGAATGTAACAGATTAGGTGAGCACCTCTAGAAAGGTTTTTGGTACAAGGCCCTGTCGAGTACCGATTTTTCCTATGAAGTAATCAGGGTTCGATATTTCCTTTACATAAATGATCTGTGAAAGAAATAGTTATGTACAGGCAGTTATTGAACTATGAAAACCTAAATGTATTTTTCCTGCTACCACGTGAACTGAATAAGCGAATTAAATATGGAACAGGAACATCTCTAACATAAGAAACAATGCTCTCGAAACTTTTCAAAGTGTGTATTTAATTCGCAAAGTAAGCGTAACAAGGAAATGAACTCTTGATTCTTTTTGGTCGTTTTGTTAATTTTCTAAGCATTCCAAAAGAGCGTCGTCAGCAAAGCTCAACAGTACAAAAAACAATCCGACCAAGTCATCTTCAACCAACAAAAAATACAGTCCACTTTCTCGGAGAATTGAAGATCGCCCCAAAAAGGAAAACCTTTGAATTAATGAATAAAATTTGATTTGATGACAACACTAATGACAAATACCAACTTAAATACATATGCCCTCAACGATATCCTTACCCACGCCTTGTTCTGTTCACTGAATACGCAACATACAGTGGCACAATCAATTCAAAATAATGACCAATATTTTTACTAGGTATGACATCTTATTTGAATATTTTTAGGCATCAGAACATATGCCAGGGAAGTGATTTATAGTTGAAATAAGTGGTATAACGCAAAATACTTGTCAAGACTTACCAAGCCCGCCTTCAAGCTAAGTTCCCCTTCATCCTTTGCTAAGTAATCGTACAGGACTTTGGCCCTGGTCATTTCGCTATCTGGAGAGGAAGTAGGTAGACTACCAGACGTACTACGGAATCAAAAGAAAAACGACAGTGTCGTCAAAAAAATAAAAACAAACAAAAAGGTTGTGTGAGAAAAGGTACGATACAACAAACATTGCAGTGCACTTGTGTGTGGAAAAGCATAAAAAAAAAGGTGAAGCCGATTAGACGGCGGTGATATCGGGGTCACTAGCGTAGGTGAGGTTGATGGCTGTGAATGAGTCGTCAGAATATTTGGAGCGGTTAGGATTTAGAGATTCCAAGTCTTCACTGTTCAGACGTAAAACAGGGCCCGGTTTCGGGAGACTGAAACATTTATAACAACTGTAGTATGTCGAGGGTTCAAGATCCAGTTGTCAAACTAAACCTGAGATCACATTACTTGTAATTTAGTTTTTGGATATAAGTTTAGTGGCGAATAGTAACAAGTTGAACCTAGAATTTATTGTAACATTTACAAAACTCTTACGCTGACTCAGTCACTATCGATAAAAATTCAGCCTGCGAATACTAGTAAGTCTTTTGGGTGATTCAGTTTTTTTTAATCCTAACATTCTCCAAAAAAGCAAAACTGTACTGAAAAATCTATGAAACTCAGGAAAGTTCAACTACTGTGAATTCTCTGAAAAGTTGCTACACATTTAAGAATGGTTTCCTGTAGGCTGAAATACAGAGCCCAGTTATCGTGGAATGTTACATCAGAAATGTCAGAAACTACATTGGTCAAAGTTAAAATGCTCCACAAACATGCACCAAAGATCACACCACAATGGGGAATGTTCCTCAATTTGGGTTATTACAGCAAAAGCAAGTTTGAACAAAATAAAGTTGAGTTGAATTCATGAGTCCTAGATATTCTACTTTAAAAAAGGAAAATTATCTTTATAAATCAACAATTAAGGCAAAATATAAATTATAGTTCAATACCACCTCCACGAGCCACATAAACAACAGTTGTTTTGTTATTTATTTATATAGAGGAAGATAGGTTAAATGCACAAAAAGTCATATGTCACAGAATGTCTCGGAACTCGGAACATAAGTAAACAGAACACCACGCCTCTGAAATATGGCATCTTTGTTTGTCTCATACAGGTAACAGATGCATTGTCCTTTATTAGCTATAACCCATGTTGCCAAATGGTGAAATAGAAAAGAATCCCTTTAAATGTTGAATGCATTATTTCATTCCTCCTTTTTTAAGTATTTAAATAATTTTTTAAAGAAAAAGGTTGAAATGATAAGTTTAAAATGCATTGTTTTACAACTTTTTTATGAAAACTACTTCATTTTCGTTAGGAGCAACATTTCCCATTCTGGAAAAAATGTCAGAGCAAGCAAATGGCCTACGAACCTGCTTTGACAGCATAAAAATTTCATACAGAACAATATTCCATACATACCTTGCCAGTTCTCGTTGTAGATCTGTCATTATAGTTGTACATTGAGAATAAAACTTTGCCTGGGTTTCCACGAATTCGTGTAAGTACCTCAAATGAGCTGCGTGTGAACTGCTGACACCCTCAAGGAGCAACTTTGTGATCTCGGCCTGCCTGTCGAACTCTGACTGGGCAACTCTCAAATCTCTTTCCGCCTAGGAAAGAAGTAATTCGTCAGATATATATTTTGAAAAACAGATATATATTATGAAATATAAGCAAAATACGTGAAAAAGTAAGTATTGAATATTATGTAGTCTAGAAACAACTATAGAATGTACGGAATTGAATAAACAGAGCTCCAAGGTTTCTCTGAATTAGAAATATTTTGTTCTCATGCTGTGAATTTTTGTGTGAATGTGTATCGCTGTAAGTTTTCTTGCAGTACCTGTTCCAATGCAACTTCTGGGGAAACTCCATCCTTCTTAAGAATGCATGAAAATGTTTGTCAATCACTAGACAGGTTATGAAATTTGAACAGCTAAAGTCCTAAGGACTGAAAAGTGCAGAATCAACCAAAAAAGTAGCAACGAATCTTGTTTTATTCAGAATGCAACTGTATAAACTTTGATTTGTTGCACAATCTTGGTTCGAAAAGATCGAGCAGGTAAAAGCTTGAGCACTTACTGCGGTCTGTCCCAACATACTCCTTGCTTTCCTTACGCGATTCTTGCAAGCATCAAGATCCAACCTAACACAAAAAGTGTCGATAATAATAACTTGTTGGAAAGTAATGAATTCTAAACAGGCGAACACAGAAATCAAGAATTCACTCAAACCTTTTGGTCTCCAGTACATTTTTCTCTTTGATGATGGTCTTCATTTCCGTTTCTAGGAACCTCCTCAGAGGTTGTGTGAAGCACATCCCGGCAGACCCGATGAAGTCCCTTTCATTCTGACCCAGTTTTTGTTCCCACTGCCCGACTTTGATGAGGGCACTTCCGTACGCCGTCCCTGGGCCCAAAGCGTTGCCTGCTTCAACCATATCAACTCCGAGATACTCGAGATTGCTCAATCTTGCTGGTCGTTGCTTTTCTATTTTTTCGTACACAAAGTCCTCGATTCTGAATCCTGGATTGGGGACGAGAACGGCTTCAGTGTTTCGAACGATTCTATCAGTGAAATTCTTTGTGTTTTCTGCTCTGTCCCACAAGTTTTCGAAGTGGGCATCGAGCTCCGTTTTTTCAGAGGTGCCAAGTTTTTCTTCTGTCATCTAGGAATAAAAACATTGGGAGGGTTATTTGTTTTTTTTGAAGATTTGGCAAAGTGAATCACCTGCACGACTCTGCTTAGGGCTGCTCCAGCATCCTTTACAATCTTTTTGACGTTAAATTCCATATTCGTTGCCTGTTGAATCTCCCCTCTGTATAAACTGTGAATTATGGATTATTTTTCATTCGATTTCTTGACAATCATCAACATTCTACTGCCCCTTATTTGCTTACACAGTGTTGTCAGTTGTCACAATTTATTTTGTCACTTTTTTGCTATTTCTTTTATGTTCACTAGACGTAAGTTTATCAATTCGAACATAAATTCAGGGAAAACATTAACCCTTCGAGTTCATATTGTAGGCTATTTCCAATTTGGATATTTTGAACTTCAATAGTCACCGACACTGTTTAACATCATATGAATATTGTATAAACTAATTTTTTGCGGGGGACGATTCAACAAAGTATTTTGTAGGTGAAGAAAACATTTTTCTCGTTGAGGAAATGTCTACCTCTACCAATATAATCAGTCAAAAATATATTTTTTTGCCAACAATAATTTCACCAAAAGGCATTTTGAGACGAATTTTGTAGCAATAGCAAATTTAATGTCATATCTCTATTATATAACAGAAATTACTATACAAAATATTATTTAGACATTTTCTCTGAATTCTGCAATGTCTTGATTGGCAATGAACCTGGATAGGAAGATTGTATAGCGCCTACTAAAGGTTTGTTCATGCTCGTTCGAATATTCGCATTGTTATTGCGAATCGCAAACAGTAAAAAAACGTCGTTCATACTGGTTTGCTATTTGCTATTACTCTCTTTCAGTAAGTAATATCACAACTCAAAAGTTGTTTGTTGTTGTTTTGTCAAAAGATGATATAGGATCCTAACGAATACCCACAAAAATGAATAATTATAACAATGAGTCGAAGTGTAATCGAATTAAATATCATTATTATTTGCTTTTTCTAGGTCAATGATTCCATCAATATTCTAGCTGAGACGAAGGACTGAAACATTTTATTTTTGCTTTTTCAACTCCATTGAATTTGTCATTATGAAAACTTGACACACCTTGTGAAAAAAATTGACAGGCTGTTTCATGCCTTAGGCTGAAATAAACTTGAGAGAAGAAGAAGAGAAATTGATTTCAGTTATTCTTCGTTTTCATTCTTCTCTATGTGGTTCGTGGTTCTGTGTAGGATCTTTTCGTTCCAATAATCTGACAAGATGGTGAGTTTTCGTAATTTTTTTCGTTATCTATCTTAATTTTTGCCATCGTAGTGAAAAATCATTATTAAGAAAAGTCAATGGAACTTGAGTGTGAATATTCAAACGTTCAACTTGATATTGGATTCCTATATGAAATATTTACTCGAAAAATTATATCCTAACCTAACAAATGTATTGTTTTCTTCTAGTCTCTGGTCATACCCGAGAAATTTCAACACATCCTTCGTATCTTGGGTACGAATATCGATGGTAGAAGGAACGTGATGTTCGCCATGACGGCGATCAAAGGAGTCGGTAGACGATATGCCAATATCGTCCTCAAAAAAGCAGACGTTGACTTGAACAAACGTGCGGGAGAATGTACAGAGGAAGAGGTAGAAAAAATCATCACCATCATGTCCAACCCTCGTCAGTACAAAATCCCTGACTGGTTCCTCAACAGGCAGAAAGATATCATCGATGGTAAATACAACCAGGTGAGTTGTAACTGGATAAGTAGAATTTTGAACTTCTGGCGTGGAAAGAATCTATGGGAAACACTTTCCCCCTCATCAGGACCAGAAAGACGGCGGTTTTTTCTGGTGAGGTTGAAGTGTTTCCAATAGATTCGGGTGAGTACTTGTGGCAGTGTACTAGTGCTAGTTTTGGATTTTTTTCATTAGACTTTGATAGTTTTGCTTCTGATCACAATTATGAGATACATCCGCTCAAAATTCGAAACTGGGTAATTATCGGAAGTCAAAACGTGGTTATTTTACCTCTTTTCGGAGGCACTGCCAATTAAAAACGAATACGTTGAAGAATAATCTTCCAGAAGCGAAAAACACTTCGACCTCAGATTTGTGATCAGCAGGAGTCTTATTTTTCAAAAACTAGCACAAGCTGTGGAATTCACCATTATATAAGACAGTCTTAGCACAGTTTAAACGGCTTATTGATATTTTGATGGCAATACAGCTGGTAGCCTGTGCAACATTACACGCAATAGGCAGTGCATTTTTCGTTTGGGAGTTCGATGTTGCGAATTGGTCATTTATTTAGTGATATCCATGAAGCAAATCGAGTAGTCATGAAAAATCTCTGTCCTAACACGTATTGCTACATCTCTATACAATTTACTAGGGATTGTGTTTTTAAAAGCATACGTACTTTAGTGGTGGAAATTTCCCGTAAGTAAACTCTTGGAAACTGTTTATATTAATTGATATGTTGATTATTTTTTTTTTGAGTTTTCCATTTACTGAATATCTACTAATGGAGAAGTTAAAAGCCTGAGTGAGTTTTTTGCTCTACACATCTTTGTAATTGCGTGTTTTCTTTCTTCGGAAGATTCCCACATTTTGTTGTATAAAGATGGAGAATCAGAAAACCCAAAAATGTATACCTCCTAAAAATATTACCCCCTTACGAATGTGAACTCTCAAAAGTTGAAACTTGTGTTAGCTAAGGACTAACGAGGTCTTACTATTTAACGTGTGATTCCTAACACGGGTTGGACGATTGCTACTGAAGGGTGTGTCAATTCCTCATCCAAATATGTGGCATTGGATATAGTGGAACGTGTTAGGAATCACACGTTAAAAGGTAAGACCTCGTTAGTCCTTGGCTCGCGCAAGTTTCTAAACTTCTGAGAGTTGTCCTTCGTATGGGGGCGACAGCTGAGTAACAAAAAAACAGATTTTGAACAGAGTTGGATAGGTATTCCGGTTTGAGCACGTGTATTTTCTATGTTGGCTATGTGTTTTTCTCATTAGTGTCAACTGTTATATGTAGACCATGTTTGTAGGTGCCCTAATTTTAAGTTTCATTCAGTGTTTCAAAGTCATTAGTTCATGGTCTATATCAATAAGTATTTTTTTACAGAACATGTATTTTTTATGAGCTGGTTACTCAGTCTATTTGTCACTACTGTCAATTGTCACTACTGTCAATTGTCACTACTGTCAGTTGTCACAACTGTCAGTTGTCGCTTGTCACTACTGTCAGTTGTCACATCCAGTTGATGTTTATATTGTTCATTTTCAGTTTTATTTCCTGTTTTCATTTTCCATATAGTATTCTTGATATTCAGTGGAATTATTAGCATGAACAATAATGACAACTGACACTAATGACTGATGAATAGATTACCCAACTCTGAAAAACGTGCTCCAAATGAAATTCTTATCCAATATGGTCTATAGAGTTGTGTCTAGCTATCAGTCATTATTGGCTTATTGCTGGAACCTCTGACAAGCCTGTTTCTGTTTTGATGAACCTTGCTTTGGAGTTTTCATTTGAAGAGTTTTCAATTGATATTGTATGGTGAAAAAAAAAGCTAGTAACATTTTGACTGTTGTCCGAGTATACTTACTCGTACATCCATTGCGAGTTGAAAGCTTGCTGTTGAAAAATGGCGTTATTTAATGCGTGAATATTCTTTTGTAGTTGATGTCTTCGAGTCTGGACTCCAAGCTCCGTGAAGACTTGGAACGCATGAAGAAGATCCGTGCCCACAGGGGTATGAGACACTACTGGGGTCTCCGTGTGAGAGGTCAGCATACCAAGACTACCGGCAGACGTGGACGTACTGTTGGTGTATCTAAGAAGAAGTAGATGCTGTTTTATTATTTAATACCAATAAAAAATTTCCTATAGTTTTTGTATCATTTCAAGGGCCCTTCTGGATGAAAAATACTATTTTACTTTTGGAGACTTCACAAATCTTCTGGGAAGGCGAACTTTTTCCTTGTTTTTTTGTCATAACATTCATTATGTGAAACACAAACATAAGGAAAAAGTCTGTGAGAGACGAAGATTCATTTATAAACATGTAGAACATTGAAACAATTTAGCATTTTGTGAAGTAGATAACGCCATCTACTAATACAAAACTAAATTATTAAATTTATATGTCGGAAGGTATCCGTCCAAAGCCGTTGAATCAGGGAGGCGCCACTATAGCAAGAGGGTGAATTTCGATTGAAGCTCTAAAAGTTGAACAATATGGAGGGCTAGATAAAACCAGAAACCCTCACTTGCCAAAGCTTTTTGATTTCCACAATAATTCATTGACTTTCAACGTTACCTCTCAGCTTTTTTTGGGTAAAATTTACAAAATAATATTCAACTACGTGAATAATTAAATTTCTATAGGCTAAATATCGTTAACAACTCGACTCTAACAATATTAAATGTTCGAACATAGCAAACTTGAAGTTCTCTATAATTGCTAAGTTTATATATATCTCTGTCTCTAAATAAATGGACGTTGCTTCCCACTCGGGCGCATTTGTCCAGGCTCCTCCTATCAATTTGACAGAAGCTTCGTCGGGTGGGCGCACCGGTCGTGCCCGAAGCAATGCTGCTACCCCTTTTTTGACACACTTTTTATAATAAAAAACAATGCATTTTTTTATTATTGCCCTACGATCAGGAGACCTTTTGATTTTTTAACACATATATTTATTGGGTCGCCCCCTCTTCGGGAGACATTCGAATTTTTGAATTTACATACATGGCCCCTTTACGTAGTTATCCGAACCACCCGGCCTGGATACCGACGTGAATAAAGGGGGCCCTTTATTCATAACTTTTTTTTTAAAAACTTTCACACATTTCAGTATTTATTACAATGGACTATCACAACACAAAACGGAGCCCCACGATAACACATGGCATCGGCGTACCTTTTTTTGTGGACGGACGTTATCAGCACGTCCACGGCCTCCACGAGACTCCTAAGTTTATATACCACTCTTGATATTAGCGCCAATTTGGTCGAATTTTGAACTATAACGTAATGTTTTCTTGTGGACACTTTTTCAACCAGAGATAGCTTTACCCTCCATACTAACTAAAACCTTGGAGAAATTTCTGACAACATAGCAGAGTGAGAAAGTAAGCAATATCGACATGCATATACAATAACAAAACCATTTGCATCTAATGAGTAAACCACCCACAGACAAACATGATATTATGGACTAGGCTTGAACTCACTTTTATATATATTCTAACTGCGGATCACATAAAGTCTTGGCCAATGCGTCAGCACCATGTAACTAATCAATTCTTAAAACTTTCAAAGTGGAAATATGCAACACGTAAAACATCACGACACTGCATCTGAGGTTAAGTTTATGAATGACGTAAATGCCAAAACGCGAATCTCTTCTTCTTTTATTAGTTGTCGTACTCAATGTTCTCTTCAATGACCAGTCCATATTTTTCATTATGTCACTGACACCACCTCATTTTTCGATAAGATGTAACAATATTCAATGCTCCAATTGCGGTTCCATAGAAATTAACTTTGGGTGAATGCCGAATAACATTGTCTCAGGTATTCCAACGTTCAGTGAACCGTTTGATTTGAATGATTTCTCACATCGACTTCCGCCACAATACGTGTACAATACGTGGGTGTTGGACAACGAAAACCAGAAGGAAATGACAGTAAACCACATCATTTACTCGCGTCAGTTATTCACTCACAAATTCGTTAGGCAATCCTATGACTGTAATGGCCCGATGTGATATAAAAACTTCGAAAGCCAGACCAATTCAAAACGCCTAATATCGTTGGTGTTTGAAAAATATGCACGGGAACAATTTTGTGGGGATTTACTATGTTGCAGGTGTATATTTCAAACTATCACGGAATGCCACACATGCCAACAATCATTTTAATTGATAGGCATAACAGACGACTATTTTTTCAACGGGCCTCGTAAATATTTCTTTTCATCTGAGTTCAATAAGAATCGGGGATTTTAATAACACGCCTCTCATCCACTCTAGCATTTATCAGAAGAAAAAAACGGCATCCGTAACGATCTTATTAGCTTCTTGATATAACCCATTGTGTCCAGAGTGGCAAACGCTCCAATAATAATACCATTTGCACTGAATAGACCGTTGCGTAATTACAATATGCATTCGCCTATCGGCATGAACAAGTTATTGAAAAAGGTAATGTTGATTTATCGAAGGAACGTTTATCTAAGCTGTAGTTATCCAGGAAAGCTTAGCTCGGTTGAATGTATTATTTNGAAATTCCTACTTTAAACTCAAAATTTCGAGTTCAAACTCGAAATTACGACTTTTGATAACAAAATTTTCACTTTAATTTGGAAATTTCGACTTTAATTTCACAAACCTGCTTTTAATCCCAAAAAGTTCAATTTCGAAATTTCAACTTTAATCTTGAAATTATTCTCGAAATTTCGACTTCAATCTTGAAATTTCAATTCCAATCTTGATATTTCAATTCTAATCTTGAAATTATTTCCGAAATTCCGACTTAAAACTCAAAATTTCGACTTCAAACTTGAAATTACGACTTTGATCACAAAATTTTTACTTTAATTTGAAAATTTCGACTTGAATCTCATAATTCTGCTTTCAATCTCAAAATTCCGACTTCAATCTCGAACTCTCCGTAGTAGAAAACCAGACATTGTTGGTACATACCTCAGTGAGAACAATAAAGAAATATTAGTGAACCAACAATCTAGAAAATTATGCCGCTTCATACGAAGCAAAAAATCCAATTGTTCCAATTGTGCATTTAGATCCTTCAATAGAACATCCACCAGGTGGGGACGAAGTGATAGTATCCGCTTCCAAAGAGAGAGGGATCATCTCTGGAGATCCCCATCACCAAGAGGGAGATGCGTAAAAGACGGTAGCTGTTTCGGTACCAACACTAGTACCATTCTCGGTGGTGTCAGTGCAGTGACGGTGTTAAGATGAGGAACTTTAAGAACTCCTTGATGTGGTACTTTTTTTCCGCGTGCATCTGTAGTACATACGCGCAGATTCTCGGATCGCAACCGGTAAGTACTGAGGGTACCGTTTATATGGGCGTAGTACAGTGAAATTAGGTCAAATCCCGAAAATGATTTGAACAAGTTTGAAAGTTGTAATATCTGTTTGAGAGCCCGTTCTATGATAGTAGTCAAAAGTCCCCGGGTTTATGAAAGTGGAGAAACGGGGCCACAGAATTTTCTTCATCATTTATTCGCTCCAACATTTCGGCAATGATTCAACTCTGAGCTTAGTGAGTCGATAATCGAAATACGTTCAATAATCTCGTAAACATGGTTGCACACATCTTTCAAACTTTATCGATAGTTCTGTGGAGATGAACCATAGTGAAGACGTAAATTGTTAAACAGTTGAACGCATCAAAAAATAAATATTTCGAAATCCAATCTCCAAACGTTTCTCTCCCCCAACGTTGCCTGCTGAAAAACAACCACTTCCCAGGCTAATACCACGATGGATATTGAATTATATAGGACAGACATTTATGCAAAATACCTCACAGAGGTTAAGTCTTACAGAAGCTGCTTGCAGCTTCACCGGACCAAAACCTGACATTGGCATCGCTTTAGACTTTGCCAAACAAACATTGAACCTGGATGGAAAGAAGATTTGTGGACTTCTGGCAGAATCTTCCNAAACAATAATAACGGTCCACAGTATAACATAGATCGGACACTTGAAACAGGTACTTAACTATATACATATATAAAAAATAACACAAACACACATACACACATATATGTATACACATACATAAATATACATAAAGTAAATTTATCTTTAACTATGATGAAAGAAATGCAGTGAAAGCAATAATTATGATAACAGTGTATCCCGTTCTGAGAATTCTTCTACGCTATAATATCCCTTTTTAGTTAATATCTCCTTTATTTGTTTTTTAAATGGTATAATATGCAAATCTTTAATATCTTGAGGCAACGTATCGAATTATGTTATGCCATTATATGCAAGTGATTCCTTGAGTGTCGATTTTTTATGTTTTGGGATAGTTAATAAATGTCTATTTTGTGTTGCATAGTTATGAACTATTGATTCATCTCTCAGATTAGGTACATTATTTTTCACATGGAGCAGAGCTTTATATATATATAGATACAAGGTAACGTTAGCATCTTGTTCTTGCAGAAAGCAGATGTACAGCTATCCCTGGGTGCAATATTAAAGATAGTTCTAATTATTCTTTTTTGAACAATAAAAACACGTTTTGCCCCGACAGAAGAACCCCACATTAATACATTTTGAGCCATATGTAAACAGTCCTGATACCATCTAAACTATGAGAAAAGGCTAATACTAGTAACATTTATTTAGGGAACGTGTTTTTGCTTAATTTTACTGTACTAAACATGAAAGAGAAAGTATATTATTTGGTGTTTGATTACTCTCGCGGTGATGGTCTCTACGCTGCGGCTGCTGGGTTATCGATACAGGAAAATGTATTGAACCGGAGAATGTATGCTGACATATAGAATTATGGAAAAGGCTTTTGGTATAGCGGTGTTCGACTAGCTTGAGTCAAATGAAAGTGAACTTCTCTTAATCAAAATTTGCAGTACAAATATGTTGCGATACATGATAATTTTGCATATCAAAAAGGTACTAAAAATTGTATATTGGACAAACCGGAAAACTTTTTCCAAAAGTATAAAAGAAGCCTCTACCGAGGCTTTGGCTAAATCTTGGTGGCACTCTAGTACTAGCCCTGAGGTAACACGTTGTCTGTTCATGGCTACTAGGGCCTGTACAAGATGTTCTAGAAATTACGGAAACAAATTGAATATAATCGGGTGTTACATCGGGTTCCACAAGGTTCACATTTGGGACCACTGTTGTTTAACCTTTTTATCAACGATCTAATCAGCTGTTTCCATGAAAGCGAAGCTTTGCTATTTGCCGACGATTTAAAATGTTTCAAAGTAATTAAAAGTGAAGCTGTCTACAAAACGATATAGATTGGAGGGTAGGATCACACCAAAGATCTGAGTGTGATCCTAGCCTCCACACTCCACAGCTAAAAATCACTCATTTCCGCATCTATGAAGATGCTTGGCTTTATGAAGAGAACCACTCATGATTTCACCAACATCACCGCTATTAAATCTCTTCATTTTTCCCTGGTTAGATCTCATCTCGATTATTGTTCCACAGTTTGGCCCCCTCATTAAGTTACACAAAAAGTGAAACTCGAGGCCGTACAGCACAATTTCCTGCGAGACCACTGTTGTTCAACCTTTTTATCAACGATCTAATCAGCTGTTTCCATGAAAGCGAAGCTTTGCTATTTGCCGACGATTTAAAATGTTTCAAAGTAATTGAAAGTGAAGCTGTCTACAAAACAATATAGATCCTAGCCTCCACACTCCACAGCTATAAATCACTCATTTCCGCATCTATGAAGATGCTTGGCTTTATGAAGAGAACCACTCGTGATTTCACCAACATCACCGCTATTATATCTCTTCATTTTTCCCTGGTTAGATCTCATCTCGATTATTGTTCCGCAGTTTGGTCCCCTAATTAAGTTACACAAAAAGTGAAACTCGATGCCGTACAGCACAATTTCCTGCGATATATTGCCTTCAAGATACGTGTATACTATGACTATACTGCATTGGAATGCATTTTGAACATACCTTCTCTTGAGGCTCGCAGAAAACATAGAGATTCAATAATTCAATTCAAAATCATCAACGGACTGAGTATCAGTCTCGAGCTTCTCTCCAAAATATCTTTACATGTCCCCAGTCGTTCCCCAGTCGTTCAACTAGACAGGTGCAAACGTTTTACGTTTCTTTTCACAGATTTGATTATTCATATAACGGCTTTATTCCCAAATAACCTTCAAATCTTTAATACATCAGTATCCCGCTTTAAAAACCATATTCTTCACTTAGCCGTCTAATACTTTCTGCTTGTGTTGTTGTATTATGTCTAGTGTTACTTGCCTGTAAGAATTATATTAGTTCATATTGTTATACATTTTAATTTTCTTAAATAATCTATTTTTTATCTTACTTCGGAATTGTATTATTGTTACAATTTACTTTTAATCCACTGTATTGCGTCAAGTACTAGATAGCACTGTACTACTTATATCTGAATTGGGCTTGCACGTGTATATATA